AATTATTGATTAAAAAAGATAACATTATTGAAAAGAAATATTAATTTCATTGAAATATATATATATATACCCACATATATATACATATATAAATATATATACACACACACATATATATATATATATATATATATGTATATATGCCATCGTGTAAGAGGATGTGCTCATTCTAGGTATAAGGCTATGGACGCTCTTTACAACACACACACAGCGCACACACACACACACACACACACACATACAAACACACACACACACACACACACATCGTGGCTCTTAATAATATATAAATAATAATAATTAACGATAAATAATAATCACAATAATATTAATGATAACCGAGGACAGCGAGAGTGGAACTATTTGGCGAATGTTTATTGATTTTAGCTTTGTATCGTAGCGTTTACTCAGTGTATATAAGATTATAATTATGCGTTATACATCTATTATCGTTACAACATAAAGATTAAAGTAATTTATAATAAAATAAAATTCTCTTTTACGGAGAAAATGAATGGAGGAATACGCTGCTGAAGAAATTCTCGGTCTTTTTCTTACGTCTCCCGATATTCTGAAGCATAATTTGTTGATGTTTGAACCTATATATCTATTCCTACTTTAATAGGAACTGTGTTAGGTAAATTCGAGCATGCCAACATCGTTATCTATTTCCAAAAAAAATGATAAGTATAACATGAGATTTGAAGGTATCGAGGATATTTTAAGATAATTTTTTTCTATTTATATATACAATCAGTGTGAAATTTTTAAATGCATACATTTTCAACTTTGACAAATTATTTTGAAAACTTTTTTACGTTTTTAATTTTTAATGGTAAAAATTTAATTAATTTAACGAATACAGATTGTATATATCTCGGTACATACGTATTTTGTGATTCATTGCATATTTTCATGACAGTTATACAATCCATGTACGTTTTGTTTTTATTAGGCTGATGTCAGTTCGGAGTAGAGGATCGAAAAAAAGAATTGAAATTTCACGTACGAAATGAGAAACACTCGCTGATATCGCTCGAACAAATAAAATTTCATTGTAAATCGTGAAATGGAAGATAATCGCCGATCAGAAATCTTTTCCGGATCAGGCCAATCCAGCGAGAAATGAGTGTCATTTAGATGACGTTGAATCGATGTCAAATTGAATTTGGAATTATCGTATCGGAGAGTCAATTCGACATCGATTCGATGAACCATTTCTCATTGGGAATCATCAGAAACGACAACGCATAGCATTTATCACGCGCGCAAATTTAGAAAACCGTAAATCCTATATCATCAAGCAATTAGAGCGTTATATTGTAATAATGGTATGTAAAAGCATCTTTTATTCTCTTCTAACGTGTCGCAAGACCTTAGAAGAAATTTTCAATCCTCGGAGTTCTCATCTTACGATCGCAAATCGTGACGCGTTGCAGACTTTCGTATACGAGACTCCCACAAAAGTCGCGATCCGTGCGATCGTAATTCCCTCATTCGTACGAATTCAAGTACACCGATATCGTATGTATATTTACCGGATTTGGTTCTATCGTTTATTCAGGACCAATTATTGTAAACGATAATCGTGTAGCATGTATGAAAGGCACGTTATTACACAGCAGCATTATGTACTTAGAACACTTTAACGAGAATTCATGGATTATATATATCGTTGAAAAGCTACGTGAGAATGACGTCGATCAATGATTACGATTTATCTGATTCATTGTAAAATGATTTGCGATTATAAAATAGTAGCTATTAAGATAGAGATGTGTGATAAAAATATCAAAAGCATTATTTCAATCATCTCTAAATTACAAATTAAATGTATTGAATTTTGTTTAATTTTTTTTCAAATTAAGCGTTTTATCTATCTTGTTTTAATTTATATTTTTTTAAGAAAAAGCCGTGCTTATTTGTTTCCATAAGTTGTAGCTGTGCGCTTTTTATTGTATCGAAACTTTCGTAGCGCGGTGTAACATTAGTTCGTTGCAATTTCACGTGTATTGGAAGCATCGAGCGTTTATTATTATTATTATTATTATTAGGCAAGTATGTAACAGTTTAATGCCCTTCCGTCACTTTCGAAGTAATTGCGTCGCTTACGAAACGATTTCCGTCATTGACGGCGCCAACGCAACGGAACAGCGACCCCAGTCGACGCCATTGCTCGCGAGTTAAAAATTTAGCTAGAGATAGATCTAGTTTATCTTCGACTGCACTTTTTTTTATATTTAAAGACATAAGTAGATATGTCGTTAAGAGAAAGGTAAAAAAAGAGAAAGAGTGAGGCAATGAAAGGTGCAGTCGAACGAAATGGATTTGATATAAGGAGAACATACGTCCTATATGTCACTCATTGTACTGACATCGTCATTGATATCGATTATTACCATTTACGAGTAACTTATTTAACTAGAGGCGGTTAAAAGTATAAACGTAATGAAGTAATACGAGGTAAACAACATGCACTGTGTAGCGTAATAGTTAATAGATCATACGTGCTGATTTTCAGGATCACATTGGGCGAAACACGCGATTTATCAGGATAATCACAATCGATCCATTTCAGCAGGCTCGTAGAAGGAAAGGAACAGAAGAAATGTATTGGAACTAATATAAGTATAATCGAGAAAAGTCACATAAACACTCCCGAGAAAAAGAAAATTATATATAATCGATCATTGGGGCTCTCTGTGCAAATTTAAAGATATCGATATTGGCAAAAGAATCGCTTGTCGAGCTGATTTCAATGGGAAGATTGTCACAAAATATATATATAAGAGTGATATCCATTTTGCGAAAATAACTGCGATCCTGCAAATGCTTCGAATGTATTACAAAGTGAAATGAAAAACAGAGAAAAACTGATCTCCGTTTAAATAATCAATATATTAGCGTTAAATTCGTTGATGCACATATATGCCGATTATCGGGCAACAGCACGTAGCACGCACGAAAACCAAAGGATGTAAATAAAAGCGGAACACACACGATGCAAGAAGAATATTTGTAAAACTGTATAGTCGTTAGTCTGATTTATATATCCAACGAGATGCAATTGGCGAGTTTAATCGAAAATAATGTGTCTTTTTACCTCTATAAATTTCATTCGACACGTGAAAAATAGTTAAACGATGATATTCGATGGTGATCCGGTATGTCTTGTGACATAATCACACGAGTTATACCAATAAAAACTACTTTCTCTTGCTGTTCGCTAAAAAAAAATGTCGAGGACGATACAGCATAATTTAATCGCATTAAACCAAAATGTCAGTTGAATGAGCAACAAAATTTTTAAGAAAGTGACTAATTGGATGCGTCTGAGAAATCCTGATTTATTATTAAGATTATAATGTTTTGACTTTTTTTCATAGAGTCCTTTTCTTATAAAAATTTATCGATTACTTTTCAACACATCGGATATGGTCGATTATTTTCTTTTAAAATTATTGTCGAGTAATTTTGACATTGCATTATTTATTACACTGTAATTGATTATAGTCGTCATCTGTGAAAAATGATTGCATGGAGATTTCGAGAGAGATTAATACTGTCCACTTTTACAATTTATATTATCGCGTTTTTCACCATACATATGTACTTTGTTTGTAACTCATGCGAAATCACTGAACGTGAAATCTTCGAGGCGATGCTCGACGGACGTCATTCATCGAATATCGCGATTGAGGTCAATGATATACAAAAAATCTGGATGCGCATCTTTATATCTGCGTGTACTTACGCGTAAAGATCGACGTCGCGAGCATCGTGATCGTGGAGAGATCATATCTTTAGAGAATATATGCATATAATAACTCACGAAGGTTCCACCTTCAGGAAAAAAAAAGAAAAGAAAAATTAAGGCGAAGAAGTCTTTGACTTGTAACAAAAAATGTATCAACTTGTAATCATTCCATTGCATATATATTATTATATATACTATTAAGGTTTAGTGCGGCAGTATATTGTAAATCCATAGAAGTTATTACTATACCGTAATAATTATTATGTAATAAATATTGTTGTTAACATAAATGACCTTAATGTTATTGCAAATGCTCCTTCATGGGAAAATTTATTGTAAGAGGGCGGCGAATAAAGGTCGTCGATTAAATAAAACACAACCATGATTATAGCGATGTTTGTATTGTAAAGATCTCTCATCTTTACAAGATAAAAATCAAGTTTTGCTTTTGAACAACAGATTCAAATTGATTACATTGTAGATTAAAGGAATTAATTAATACGTATTAATAATAATACAATACCTTATTATACACACAACAATCATAAAACGATTCAATTATAATTGCTCTAACACACGAAGTAACTTTACACCGAAGGAATGAAAAACAATTTTGGTACTCAAGTATATAAATTAGGACATCAAGTATATAAATTAATCATGTATTTTGCGACGTATAATACTTCGAAATAATACGTTATATAATAACACTATAAATTTTAATGAGCTAGACTCGAAAAATTCGTACCTCTTTCAAAACACATTTACTGCGCAAAAGATTTGCATATCTTATTTATGCAACTCAACCTCGTTTTATACGCTACTTTATTAACACAAATTGAATTAAATTAGTGTATGATCGAGAATATGAATCGATTAAAAAGATAAGATGAGTAAATCGACATTTCGTTTCGGTTTTAAACTGCAGATAATACGTATAAAACTTACGGTAAGAGCGGGAATGAAAAGAAACTTTAACTATACATCAGTTAATCTATCGTTGATCAAATGTCAGTCAACGATACAGGGGATATAACTTCTATTCTTTATAATAAAATTGTCATGCAACCTAACGAAACGTTTTATCGCAAAAGAAGCGGAAGAATAAGAAAATGGACGAGAGCTAACGATAAAATGTACAAAGTCGTAAACGGTAACGATATAAAAACAAAAGTCTTTTAGCGATGATAATAATAATAATAATAATAATACAATATGTAGTTTAAACTATTTGATTCATATACACGCGTTATTCTATAATTATGTTGATCAGTTGTTTCAATAGACTTAATACTGGCGGGAGGACGATTGCTTCCGACTTGTCCGACGCTGGCTTTTTACGGGCAGTCCTCGGGCGTACGGTTTGTGTGCGTTTGTTGACAGATAAAAGATGCCGCGTGCTCTGTTAATTTATAGCACATTAATATTGCCTTCAACTGTTGGTAAATGTTATGACATTTTAAACGCGTGCTTATCTTTTAAATTGAATTTCGATTCATCAAACATGCGTGCAGCGCGTTATGCAAAATTTCGCGGCGGGATCTCTAATTGAAATAGAATTTATTTACGTATGAGGCGAATCTTCTCCCATCAGGATGTATTCGTCTTTCTTGGGATTGCACCATCCGATTAGGTATGAGAACAGATTTGCGCAAGGAGCCGCCCAAAATCCCTTTTTCGTCGTGATCGATTCTATGTAATACGGCGTCACTTTTGTATGATCGCACGAGAGCGTTTCTGCGAAGGAAATTTTCAGTTTGCCATCACACAGAAGAAAAAAATCCTCTAAGACTGAATTGAAATCACCGGTATCTTTAACTGCAATTTTCTTGCAACATTGCATTTTGTCTCCACTGTTAATTTTCACTCGTCAGATACTCACGGAGTATAGAAGAAGTGGCGCATCCGGGCTGACTCGAGCCACCGTTTACGTAGAAATCCGCGTGACCGTTGGGCCCCCATTGGCCCAAAATGCCAGCGCCTGTATGAATCACATCTACAAAATGGGCATCCGTTTCGTCTAAATCCATCGACCGGTTGCCGTTCATGTAGAAAAATATCGTCGGATCGAGGCCTAGCATAGAGAAAAAAATGTCAATTATTCGATCAATGTCCCGATTATATATACGAATTATTAGCCCTCATCGAGACGTATAACACATCGTATAAAAGTATTCTTTTAGTAAAGAATTTTTTTCCGATTATGTCAATCTTGATTCTTTGTACTTGTACTTTCAAAAATGTAGAAATAAGACGAAAAATTTGTTAGACAAATTGTAATGGAAAAAATTATTATAATAGTTGACTAAATTGATATAAACTGTAATATGTATAATAAAAGATTTGTTACGTCTGATTAAATTGCGAAACGACGATCGGCTGCAATTACCCGTAATTCTCCCGAGTTTGTCATTCGGCAAATAATTTGCGATGAGTCCACCGATATGTGCACCCACGCTGTATCCGAGCACGTGTACGTTCTCTACCCTCGTGCCACGTGGATGGTCTCTCAAGTATTTCACCAGTTGAGCGATGCACTGAGAGCAGAAATCCGGGCCCCAGGAGATCTGCGAGAGACAGGGCTCGCGTACCAACGAACCGTAATCCACGATTATAATATTATAATCGCCTCGCGCGAAATACGCTGAAATTGAACGTGGTGGTATGGCTATTTTGGCTTATTCGCTCTGATTCTGCATGGTCTCTTTAACGTTTCTAATTTTTCATCCACGTAAGCCCATCGAACACTATTTTCTTAACTAGTATTTTTAGATTTAATTATTCTCTTGATTTTGATATAATTTATATTTGTAAGAAGAGAAAATTAAATTCTATAATCTTTAATTTTGCGCTTTAATAAATCTTAACGTTTAATTGAGTGATCTTTTTGATATCGTTGGCAGATAAAAGTTTTTATCATACATACGCACTCACGAATTTGAGATCTAAAAGGATAGAAGACTGTTAATCTTACCATCTCGTAAATCTGTACTAGGCGCTAAGTTTCGTCCGCCGCCAAAACCGTGAATGATGATCTTCGTTGGGTGCGTTTTATTGAATTTGGAATTCCAAAGGGAATCAAAATCACGGATGTCTAATAGCGAAGGGTCTTTTTGCGTTTCTCTGAAAATCACGATAAACAGAAGATATAGCGACTGTTCGCCGACACTTGTCACGTCCGCTACGTCAATATAGAGGATATAGTGAGAGTATTCGACGGTACTATAGATGCCAGAGAAAGGTAAGTCTTGAAAGCAGGTCACTTTCAGTACGAGATAAAATGATCGTGATCTTGAAATTGAAAGTTGCAATGTTGATTACTTCCTTTTAACAATCCATCTTGTCGAAATGAAAGCGACTGAATGAAACGATTGACACGAAACGTTAATCAATACAAAATTATTCAACATTACTATTAAAATAACGTTGTGATTAAATATTAAACGTATGAAAATTAGAAAAAAAAATGACAGGAGACGCACCTAGTGTACAGATAGAACTCTATCTGCGGATGCGGACAGGTGTAAGGCGGCTTGGCGCAGGATGTGCTGTTAAAGAGATCTCTAAAGGTTTTGTTTTGAGCCGTTGCATAGTCTGAAAGTATAACGATTCGTTGATTTCACTTCCACTCTTTCTGAATGAACGAACGACTCTAGCGTATCGCGTTTATACGTTAACTGTCAGTTAATCGATCAGCCGTGTAACGGTTTACATGTCTCGTATATATGTTACAAGTTATCGGACCGTTATACGAAATTGGGTGAAGGTCGGCTTCTCGTTAGTTTTATCGCCGATGTTATAAATGTAATATATGTTGGAGGTGACGCATCACTCACGCTTTTCTTAAGCCTTGATTAGCAACCTTTGTTTTTCTCAGCTTGAATCAGTGCGCGCCAATACAATTATTTATCAGATAAAAATTATACGCTTCGGATCGCATGCAATTATTACGGAACAAAGCATAATTGATATACGCGATAATATTTTACGGCAAAATAATTCAACAAAGAAGTCTATTCAACTTTTGTCTTAGTTCAACACTTACTCGTTATCTTTCCCTAGTTTTAAAAATTAGTAAAAGATGAGAAGTAAGTTGAATTGAGAGCAAAGTTAATCCACGTTGGAAACGTGCATAAATCCGTAAAATGGTTCAATGAAACTAAAGATTACCGCGCGTGAACGGATATTATAGCTTCATTCCAAGAAAGTCGGATTATAAAAGCGGAATTCTGCGATATGTTACTTTTATTTCTTTATAATCTCATGAGCAAGATGTCTTTTACGAGAGAAAGTGTATGTGTGTGTCAAGATAATATTATACCTTTTAAATTTAAGAATTATTAAAAAAAATGACGAATTTAAATTAATAATATAAAAAAATATGTATAAATAAAAAACATAAAATTTATATAATTCTCTTAAATATGTCTATAAATGAAAGACATAATTAGTAAAAAGAAAAAAATGAGAATGTGCAAAGTTTATATGAAAAAGAGAGCGACAAAAAAAAAATAAGATTCTTATTCACAATATAATTTCTTTTTGACAGTACACGAATATATAAAAACGAAAGATATGTTATTCTTCATTTAAAACATAAAAGACAACGACTAAAATTAAAAAAGCGCTTTTGCTTGTTTTTTAACTTACCCACGTATGCTGATTTTGTAGAAATATGCAAGGAAAAAGAGGTAGAGTGAAACTGTTACGTTAAGATGTTTTATCTGTCGTTCCTTGCAGTTCGAATGACAGTCTCGCCGGTAAACGGCAACGCGCACACTCGCGTGGTGCCCCGAATCGAATGCTTTTTTTTTTTTTTTTTATGAGGCAAAGAAGTCGAAGGAAGAAATCGACAACCGCGTCGATGTCGAATCTCAGTACTTACGGTACTGTAGCAGGGTGCAGAACATAAGGAGAGCGAGGTATCTCACGACACTGACCGCCATCTCCCGCGGTGATCCCGTGGTTTGTGATATAACATCCAGGCTTATACGGCGCGCGAAAAATCCACTCGGATGCGATTCCCGTCGCAGTGCGTACGATTGCAAAACGCAAAGTCATCGGGGGATATATACTGTTTGCGAGGGGGAATTTAGAAAGTAACACGAGGAGTGTACTTTAGGCGGCCGTTTACGCTTCTTCGTGTAGTCGCCTCCTCTCCCGCTACGCTCCGTGCTCTCGTACGCGTGCGATATGGATATAACCGTGCCCGTCCACCGCGATATATGTGACACATGCAATGGAGTACGCTTGCGATAGCGCACGTGGGCTTTTAGCTACTACACATAAGCTTTTTCACATATAATATAAACATTATAAATCATTTATCCGATTCAAAAGTAACAATGCTCATATCGAGCTACTTGATCTTTTCATTTATTTATAAATTTTATATTTCTCTCTTAATCACTTATTATTTTTCTATTTATATACGTTTGTTTAAAATGAAAAAATTACTTTTTAAAAAGATAGATAATTTACAAAATATATAAAAATTCAAAAGTAACAATGTGAGTGCTCACATCGAGCTACTTGATCTTTTCATTTATTTATGAATTTTATATTTCTCTCAATCACTTATTATTTTTCTATTTATATATGTTTGTTTAAAATGAAAAAATTACTTTTTAAAAAAGATAGATAATTTACAAAATATATAAAAAATTGGATTGTATTTTAAAAGTTAAAATACAGTCTTATTGAAAATATCGTTTACATAATCTGCACTGTTTTAATTGTTTATGTGTATCTATTAGGAAATCATAAAAGTATCTTTCCGTACGCGTAATAAAAATTAATCTCACGCATAAGACATTGAAATTAGAGAGTTAATTTTCATGTACACAATATGTCTCACGGAAATGCTTTCTGCATCACTAAATGATACGTTACTGTAAACAGTGTTTTATGCAACTCGAGAAATCATTCAAAAGCGTTAATTTAACGATCGTCGTGTGCGTGAATTAATTACGGGAATTTGAATGAAGTTTCCAGATTGCTCTTACAAGCCACGTTTGCTAGGACACATAACGCCACGGGGCAAATATATGTATATAAGACAAAAAGAAAATTATTGCGCGCGATTGTGCGATCGTTTCTTTAAAAAGAAATGATGATATCGCTATATATCGGTATATATGATATGTAAATATAGCAGCGCAACAGGTGACAAGTAATTTCTATGATAGCAGCAAATGCAAACGATAATTAACTTAATAGCTGTTCCAAGGATAAGCAAGAATAAATAATATCAATAAGATTTGTATCAACAAGAATGTCAGTTTTTGCCCACCGCGTCCTCATTCTGCGTTCTTAAATGTGATTGTATACACCGATCTTCTCGAATAACGCAATGTATTATTGAGAAACGTGAAATAAATTACGAGTTTTACAATAATCGTTGTGCATTTATTATTTATGCTTTTCTAGCGTGAATTTACTCAATGAATCAGGAGGAACGAGTTTTGAAAAGATCGGCTTACGATTTATTATCAATAGCCGCCAGACTATCTCTCGTTTTTTTTAATTACATAATACATTGAAAATTACAATGTTACATATATATATTTTACATGATAATTAGCGTCGCAATAATTAGTAACAAACCAGATTGCGTCGGCGTGATGTATAATAATAATTTCTAATATGCGACTACGCATAGAATAAAGACTTACTAACACAAACGATTCAAATATATCTTTTTGTATTCGCATCGTCCCACAGACATAATATTGTTCCGTGCTTTGAAGATTATTAAAAAATATAAAATACATAATAATCCCCCGTAAGAAGAATGCGATTATAACAATAGATGAATGATAGATGTTGTCAATGATAAAGTCAATTTTATTTTTCAATAAAATTAATTAATTCATTTTTTCTGATTCACAAGAGAGAAACAAATCGTTTATAGTTTTAAACATCTAGTTTTATTACGTACCATTTCCATAAATATTAATTAAAATTAATTGATACTCAATCAATTCTGTCAGCTATTTTCTAAAATCAGAAAAAAGGAGAGAATCGATCAAATTTCTTTTAACTTTAATTAATATTTATAAGGCGCTGTATCGGAGAATTCTGAATTATTCTGAACACGAAGACATGAATTGTGATCGCGCTATTACTAACGCCAAACTTGTATTTGCACAGCACGGAAGAGCGGATTCTTTTGATTCATACGTATAATCTTAATTGTAACATTTTTAACAAATTTGTATATATGTATATATATATATTATATATAATTAACATTGCATTGTATTATTGTCTGCTAAATTTTCAACGCAGTATTTCTCAACCAGCGAGACATACTGAAAAACAACAATTAATATACAATGGAAAATCAGTTAATTTACAAAAAAAAAAAAAGAAACACAATTTTGTTTCGCAATATTAAGTACTTTACAAAAGCAAAACTTTATCATTGAAAATCCTCTGTAAATACGGTATTTAACGTTAGCGCTTAAAATGTATCGAAGATCATGACAATTGAACGGAGAATATATGTACATATATAATTACACAAAGCTATATTTGTGACGCATTTTGTTTCGTTCGATTTTATACCGCTTACAATGACAATGTAATCATCTTCAGGATGTTACACAATTATATTAAATTAATATTTTTCTAAACACGATAAAATATTACGCGTGATACAAAACAGTCTCCTCGGATTATCACTTGGAGCACATAAAATAATTCCAAGTTTTAGTCGCATAAATAAAAGAACCAATAATGAGACAAAGAGTTTACTAAATTACACTTGATACTTATTATATCAAGTCATCAAAATTTCGATATATAACAACACTCTTATTAGTATTTCCTTTTTTCGATGTGAAATTCTCGTTATCGTAAAACAAATAACATTAAACATCGGGATATTTAGTACGGACGTCTCTTCTCTGCTCTTGTTTAACATATATGAAATAAATATCAAAATCTAATTAACTATAGTTACATTTAAATAAATAAATAAATACATAACTAATTCTCAGTAATTTTAATTTTATGTAGTGTATAAATTTCTTGAGAATTTCTCATCGTTTACAATATACATATATATGTATATATATAATATACGTTTATATTATATGCATATACAATATATATACATATATGTATACGTCTAAAATTTTGCCTATTTATTGTACTTATAATATACTTTACTTTCATTCCCTCATAAACCATTGTAGTTATTGTCAATATAATAATTGATACATTTTTGTAAACAGGTTTAATCGCGAAATATGTAAATTAATATTATTTAATTACATTTCAGAGGTTGTACAAATAGAGACGAACTATGAATGCCAGTATGTATACAGCATTGTACATATTGTGTTAAATATACATAATACGTGTGTGTGCGCGCGTGTTTGTATTAAGTATAGAGATGGTTCATACCGTAAACTGTCGAATACTTGTGCCCTCCTCCAGACTGATAAATATAATGTATCCTTTTTTTTATAATTATTTAAAACTTTAATTGCAAAACGTATTTAATTTGATTTAATAACAAAAATTTCACAAATTATAACTGCGTGTAATAAAATATTACATGTAGTGTTAACTGCCTTAGTTACTAATCTTAAAAAATATATTTAAAATCATTCAAGAGGTCCTTTTGAAAATGAAAAATTCTATTAATTGCATATACGAGACACACATTATTCTTATCATTCCGAATCGAAGAAAGATATGATATCAAATTTACGGTATCGGTATCTTTGCAACTTGGAATGCATCGTTTTAATTGTTTCACGAACATCTACATTATAAGATTTGATAATAACTATTATGACATGTGTATGATACGACCTACTTTGACTTAATTAAATTTATATATTTTTTCGTACATTCTTCGTGGAACGACAAAATGGCCAATATATTCTTCATAAAAATATATAGAAATATTTTAATGTAATACATTCTTGGATGATTCGTTATATTTTCATCACAATCTGTAATATGTCTCCTATTTTTATTTTCTATATTCTGTGGAGCACTCGAAGAAGCATAGAACTAATTGTTATAAAGTGATACAGGGTGCGCCGAAAATGAAGTTATGTTAATTTTCAATTAACGTAAGCAACGACCCTACAACAATAATGATCGTTTTTCGGTATATCTCATATATTATTATGAAATTTTCCAAGTATAGTCTAATTTGCGTCTATTCTTAGCATCGGCTCACCCCGTTTCCGTTATTTATTGTCATAAGTTATTACTGGAGCTATACGTATATGTAAATATTAGTATCAATATTATTGTTCGAACAGCATTAGAACTTATCTTAGGTTTTTCGTAATAATTATTATAATTTATAGATATTTCGAGTCCAGAAACTTTCTCTGGTTTAGGGAATAAAGTCGTGTGAATAATGTTAGGCCTGTCACTACTACGATACACAACGATGAATGTATATATGTATATCATATATATCTATATATTAACGTAATGCTATTTTTCATGTATTATTATCATGATCAAAGCATAGGTTTAATAAAAGTGAACAAATCTAAAAAGATTTTAAAAAGACAAGAATGAAAATCACCAATATAAAATAAGTAGAAAGAGAAAAAGCAAAATATCAGAAAATATAAGTGTCAAAAAAAAAAAAAAAAAAAAAATTAAATAGTTTTTAAATATCTCAAAAAATTTAAATATTCTAAAACAGTGTAAATAATGGATTCTTTCACAAAACGATTGAAATAAAATTCTCTTTTCATTATAAGTGTGAACGCGTTTACATTTTATCTCTCTTGTTCCTTATACCTTTTTGTTATATATCTTTTACAAAAAATATAACAATATTATTTCGTTCACGCTGAGAGAAAGAATTTTACTTTTTCTATTTTCAAGTAAATGTCCTTTCCCAACATTCATCCGACAGCAAATCGTTTCTCTCAGCGTAACAGTGACGCAGACAACACACAACAGATGACAGTTATCGCGTACATACCATTAATTTCAAATGTTGCAAGTGTTTCCGACTTTCTATCATCTTTAAAGCACAACGCTCGCGGTTGATGCACCATGCGAAAAAAATGTGCGTTGCGGAATCGTTATTTCATGTCATCATTAATACGAGCTCGTTCTAATCATTACTGGTTATTATTCTGTTCTGCGTTGTCACTGATATTACGAAGTGAGATTACTACCGTTGCATACGGGGTGTTTGGTAATAGTCGCATGCATGGTAAACAGGACGATATTCCCCATCAGAACTTAATATTTTTTTTTCTATATTAAAACTTTGTTAGACTAGAATTAACTTAAAATTGCTTTCCAATTAGAAGTTTATTTGGAAATTTTTACTTCTAAAATCTTGCTGTAAGTATGTCTATAGTATTTTTATTGAAAAGAAGATATATGATTATATAAAAAATTGATCAAAATATGAATTTAGTTAAATATTAAAATTCGTTAAAGGTTTACATCTCTATAAAGAAGACAATTTTTCTTTATTTTTTTAGCCTTTACGCTCGTATTCATAGTCAGGCCTTATTATTCAAGGCTTCCTTAAATAATTTATCTTCCGTTGCTCTACGAATTATTTCATTGACTATTAAGTATCTAAAGATAAATTTAAGGAAGTCTTAAGTATAAGGCCTGATTATGAATGCGGGCATTAGTCTTCATTTTTAAAGTTAGTTATTGATATTTCAACATAATCATATCAATTATATTTTAATTATAATTATTAATAATTACATGTTTAATATAAACATGTTTTGATAAAATAAATTTGCTTTATTTTAAACATTGAAACTCGTTCACTAGAATATTAATTCTCAAACACTCGAATATATTCATAAATAATAAATAAAAATTCACGCAGCTAGCAAATACAAGTAATTAAATTTTAAATCTCGTGCTCTATTATAACATGTGCTTCAGGCTTTCATTTAAGAATTATTGTCACATAGTAAAGCGTTCAATAAAATTAATACTTTGAAAAGCATATCTCTACATCTTAACATTTTTAACGAGTAAATCGCACCAAGCATTCTTAAATATCGATCATCACACAGGTATTATTATCTCATTATTGTATTTAATATAATAACCACGTCTAACTAATATATATATATGTATACACACACATACACATATATACATACATGTATGTATAGATACATATATATGTATATTTATATTTATGTAATCATAGAATATAATAGCAAATAATATATGACATATATAATATATAACTTATTTATCGACGAAGAATGCAAGATGATATTTGCCGACATAATGTGTGTGTGTGTGTGTGTGTGTGTATGTGTGCGTGTATGTGTATGTGTGCGTGTCGACACATGTATGGATTATATCGGTATGTCTGTATTTTTAAAAAGGTCTCGCATAAATTGACTAATTTTGTGGATCTCTCTTGGTTATAACGGAGTTATAACCTATTAGATTATTAGATTTGTAGATCCACACACGCACGAGGGCGTTTAACGGCGTTTGTATTACGACGTTGCCATTAGTTAAATATTGTATATATCTTATTTGTATGCGAATATACATATATATATTTATATATATCAAATTAAATTTATTACTAAACAAAATCAAATCGGTTAATTTCGATTTTGCTCACTTTTATATTATAATAAATATTGAAAAGTGATTCCTATTTGTACGCGAAGATTAGAAAAAAACAAAAGATATGTCTGTTCATGTCTATAAAGTGCTCGATAGAACTAAATATATTTGGCGAACATGTTTCTACGTGAAAACTCAAATAAATTTTGCAATTGCAAATAAGCTCTTTCTCTTTCTTCTTGCATCATGTACATGTATTACAATTGAATACTCCTTTTATATTCAGATACAAAAAATGAAGTTAATCGAAATTAACCGCTTGAAGTGCCTAATACTTTCAGTACTACTTGCCCGCAAAATCCGGCGCAACACACATCACTTGCCTTTTTACTGTATTCTTTGTATGTGTATACCTACTTTGTTTTACTTTCGACCGCGCACACGCGCAATCATGAAGAACGTACATACATATGTATACAATAAAAGATGTGTGCATGTATAATATATATTATTCTTTCTAATTATCAATCTTACTTTCATTTTTGTATATTCACTTTCATGATTTACTTTCATGATTCTACTTAATATCTATCATACTTTATTACGATACTTTCATGTTGTTATCACTTTCTTATAAATACTTTCATAGTTTCATGTTAAATCGTTACGCGTTTTTCGAATTATCTTGAATGTTAAGAAAATTTACGCAAGAATTTTTATTTAAAGAATTTGACTTGACTCGGACACGTTTACTTATTATAAGTTATGTTTTTATCAGCTTTTAAATAATTTACGCTTTTGCTTCTAATGGATGTCAATAGAAAATTAATAGCTGCATTTTATCTTCCTTTCCTGTTTCTTTACGGTTTTTATATTCATAAACTTTATATGCGATATCTACATTTGACATAATAAAGATCTTACAAAATTTGTAGGAATATTTCTTTGATGTTCAAATAACTCGTTCAGATTTCTGAATTTTCGTTAACGTTACCATATTTGATTTTTGTAAATTGTTTTTCAAGTTTTATCCAATTCGCAAATTATGATATAGATACTATATCACAAAGTCAAGGTATATTTAAAAAAGTAGATATTTCAATTTAGATATATGTCTAGTGAAATTTAAAATATTTTCTGAATATTCACGCTGTATGAATAATATCGTCATTATATGGTAAATCAAATTGTACTGACTGTGTAAAAGATGTCGATATTTTGTGTCTACCTTCATTTTATCAAGCGATTTACGTTATCCTCTATATTAACTCGCGTAACTTTTCTCCTTTATTGCTTATATTTCTATTATTTCGCATAAATAATTAAACACATCGCTCAAGAACAATTGAAAATATCTAAAAGTTTCAGCGATTGAGCTGTGCGTCGCGAACATTGAGATCTCACACAGTTTTGGTATTTTGTCAAACCTCGCTGTTTATTATTGTCCACCAAGAGAATTATTGTCTCATGAAGGTTTGAATTATTGTCGCTTTATAGAACATATCTGGATCTCATCAATGATAAACGACATCTTGCGATTAATACTCTTTTTTTTATATAGAAGAAATCAGCATTGCCAATATTGCATGCAAATATGATATATAATTTGATAAAAAGGTTTTAAAATTTTATAAAATTTAAGAATCTCTCTTAGGAAGAGAGAGAGAGATTATTGATATCCTAATCGTTTTATAAATTAAAGGAATATTCTTTTTGTGATCTCACAGAAAGAGTTAAAACAGTCGATTATTGGATTGTAAAGCTTGTCTTAACAATACGCTTTGCACCCTCTAAATGTTTAGAAAATATAAATTTATACATGGCTAAATGTATATTAAAGGCGCGTTCCGTTTCCCGCGTAATGCGCGTAATGCATCAATTGTCCTCGTTTAACGTTCGGTGGGCAACAAGGATAAACATTATGCGAATCGTGCACGAAACGGAACGCACCCTATGTAAAATACATTTTTAATTTTCTTGTTCGATCAGCTGTTTCTCTTTTACTTTCAAAGTTTTTCCGGATAAACTTTTTGAATCAGAAACTTATCTTTTGCAGCAAGTGACTTATTATTGTCAATTTTTAAACGCTGGAGTACACGTGCGCCCATTTCTAATCGTTTATCACACCGTTATAAAAGCAGTACCATAATATGTCTTTGACAAAATAAATACGTAGCGCGGTGCATTTAATTGTCAATCAATCTCGTAAAGTTAACAAAAGTAATGAGCTTGTTTTTTTTTAGATCCCGTATCATTTCAAGTTATTCGCGTGGATATTCTCAGCGCCATTCTCTGCACTTTTAAATATTACACTCAACAAAACATTCCTTCTTTTTCTCTTTCTGATATATTTATCGAAGACTTTGCACGTAAAACTTAGAAATGTGTTTGATCATTTTGATTTGTAAAATTCAAAATTAAAGCTGCTATCTGAATTCTGAATAATGCATACGATCTCCAGACATGCCACAATTAAATTCAATTAATAGTAAATAATTCTGTAAAATAATTTATAATTGTTGACGTTCAACAAAATTAATTCTTTTTTTAAAGAAAAAATGAATAATTCTTAATGACTTTTAATTTTTTTAAGGGAAACAAAATTATTCGTGTAACTATAAAATTTAGTTTCTTTACCAGCCTTAATTCCGTAAGTTTTATTAATAAAGATGCGGCATGTCTGAGGAACCGATGCAGGATTGACAGATAATTAACGATACGAATAATCTACAACCTCAGAGAAGCAGTCTGCTTTTCTCGTGTCCAATTATTCTATCCTGTGATCGACGATTCTCAGTTCCACTGTTCATTGTGCACGATGTCGTATGTGTGGTCGTCCGTTGCCGGTGGTTGCACGAAAGACGCGTTAACTTCGCTAGCAAATGGATTTGTTGAGCGAAATGGATTACTGCTGTTGCTTTCTGTCGAGCCGTAGTTTTTCACGGAAGCATTACTATCCTGTTGTGCATACTGCAGATGATTTTCAACCGATGACTGCTTGTAGTTCCAATCATCAGTGACGCTTCCGTCTCGGGACGGTTGCTTCTGGAAAAAATAGTTATTTTTTTAATTTTATTATTTTTATTGCAAAAAAAATAATAAATACATTTATTTTGAAAGAATAAATTTTCAAATCTCAAGTAGATGATATTAAAATTATCAGATATTTTGCATCATATTGTATTTCGTAATGAATTAAAAAATATGTTAGTATAATTTGCAAGTATGTGTAATAATTTTTACTTTATTCAAAGATTAATTAATAGCTATAATTCAATAGAGAGAAACTACGTAATGTTTGTTGTACCTAAATAATTATACTAATGATTTGTGTGAACACTTACTATAAATTCGGATTGCATAGTTTTCGGTGGAGGTGGAACGGGTGGTTTCGTCTGGCCCAATTCGTCCATAGGATTCCACCTTTTTTGCTCTTCTAAAGTGGGATCAGCCCAGGGTTGCAACTCGCCGGAGCAGAAAATAGCATAGAACGTCACTCCAAAAATATGAACACATGCAGCTATGATAAAAACGTTTCGCCAGCTGTGTAGATCCTGCACAAATTTATATTCTAATTTTAATTTGTACATATTATAATAAATTCTAAAGGATATACTCAAAGAAGTATATTCTTCACCATACCTTCTTCTCCGTGATATTATCCACGAAGAAAGGAACTAACAGACCAGCGATGGTGCCAATCCCGTTGGACATGCCCATTAAGATACTGGCGTATCTTGGCGCGATGTCGAGATGATTAACATTAAAGCCAGATATGGCAAAACCGCTGCACGCGACCCCGATCGCAAGAGCGACCGTAGCCATAGTTCCATTTTTAGATGTCGTTGCATGAGCCACCACTAGGAAGAAGAGTGCTTCCATACCGAAACCGCAACAGTTGAAAACCTTCCTGACATTCGTCGTTGTCATGATGCCACGTTTACGGAGATAATCCGCCAGCAAACCACCGCAAGGTACAATCATCGTCATCATTAAGTGTGGAAGCGATCCAATGACTCCGGTCTATCAAAATGAATAAAACACATTTTATATATTACGATTGTTACATTGAATTTTTATATAGTAAATTAGTAATAAATATTAAATAAAATGTTTTCCTCTTTATATATCGTTTTATCGAGAAAAATCATATTATATCAGATACTATTATATATTGTAATATATTTACCTCGACAAGAGGCATGCCAAAAGATTCGTGCATAAAGCGTGGTTGGAAGAGTACCAGCAGATAAAAGTTCCAGGATCTGCAAAAATTAGCGACAATGATGGCATATACCGGCATTGATGTAAGAAACTTGCGCCAGGGAGTCGTCGCCAGCGTGGGTACAGGTGCTTGCGCTTGTCCTTGTCCGAGCGAATCCTCGATGTAACGTAATTCACGAGCTGAGATACAGGGATGTTTCGACGGCTTTTCAAAAGCCAACCACAACCAGAAGCCATACCAAATCAACCCGCACATGCCTGCAATTTATTGTTGAAAATTACATCTGCCGTTTCAACATTTTGTTTTGTTGTTACATAAAGTAAAATTTTATTGTCGTTACTATTATATATTCAATGTAAAAGCAATTAAATGACCGTACAATTGATAGAATGTAATTTTTTTATTTGTTGACAAAATAAAACAAATATAAGTAAATTTTTGAGCAAATTTGTTTATATACGAAAAATGTGTTTGTTTCTAAGCTAAAATAGTCTATTTGTCTATTTCTAGCAATTGTTTTTCCTGTTGCAATAATGAGATTCAGTTTATTACAGCAAAACGATTTGTATATTATAAATAAATAAAATTATTATTCTTATACACAATAAAACTTTTTGCGCGCATGTAGAAATTTATTAAGACAATATAAAATATTTCTTTTTCTTTGTACGCTTGCTTGAAATACAAAAAAATCTCTTTACCGTAGAAATAAAAGGACGCTGTCCAGCCAAACCAGAAACTCAAGTATCCAGAAAGCGGCATACCTATCACCATTGCAGCATACGATCCACAAAACGCTAATGTGGCCAAACGCGATCTTTCTAGTGGTGGTGCCCAGTATTTCCAAATACCATGACACGCTGGATACGTGACACCCTAAGAAAAAAATAAAAACCGGTTACAATTGTAACAGAATATATTAGATATTATATAATAATATTATACAATGTATTGTAAATATAGAGAAAAAAAATCTATATTTTAATCAGGGACCCTGAACAAGCTCTCTCTCTCTCTCTCTCTCTCCCCTCCCTCTCTCTCTCTCTTGCTCTCTTATTTTAAAACAAATGTTCTATTATATTGACAGTAAAAAAAAGAAAACAAATAAATAGAATAAATAAAAAGTCAATTTCAATTTTAAACTCCTTCACTACCAAACTTTGTGAAAATTGAAAAAAAAAAAAACATAAAAACCGTTAAAACCATAATTTTTTCAGTTTCGGTTTTCTTGAGGCTAGTCGAGAAACCGAAACTGACACCGGAACATTTATTTGACGTTTTATTAAACCGGAATCGGAACCGAATCGAAAAAACCTTTTTTCAGTCCGAGTCCCTGATTTTGATAAACTTTATTCTTTATAGAATACTTTGACATCTACGTATATATGAGTACGTAGAATATTCTAACTGTACCCTTTAGTTTTGTTAAATTTTCCAACTTTACTTACCTCGACCAGTCCTTTCAATACTTGTACTCCCATGTCAACGACAGGGTCTACGTTCAGTGCGCCGGGTACCAACAAATTCAAAAAAGAAGACATCGCGATGGCTGCACCAAATATTTTGTTAGCAGGATATAACGATGCGAGAAAACCACCGGGCACTTGCGTTACTAGGTAACCCCAGAAAAATGATGAATCAAGGGCGCTTTCCATGCCGATCGTCCAATTGAACCTGATAGTGTGGTTTTCGCCTTCCGTAGTATTTTTCATGACAAGCTTGGCCATACCCATGTTACATCTCATGCCAAACGAAATAATAAATCCTAAAAAATATGATTAATTAGAATAATGAAAAGAAAATTTTACTTTTATTTGTAATTATATATATATATATATATATACAGGGTGCGTCACAAAAATCTGGACAAATTTCAATTTAAATTTTCCGCTATATTATACCTCCGCCAGAGATTGTTGTTGGCGGTCGAAAGCCTGATGCTTCTAGTAAACAGTGAAGTGATATTCTCAAAATGATCGCGATGTTGAAATCAGATGCGGAGTATAATCGAAAAGCCGCGAAGGCCTTCGATGAAGGCCTTCACGCTGGGCGTTTAGCAATGGAAATAATTCAGTTTTTTGAATACCCAAGATCAATCGTTTATGATGTTGTGGCAAAATATATGGCTTCGAAACAGTCCAACGAAGGTTCCAATATGCCAGCGAGGAAGAGTCACTTAAAAGCGTTCGACATCGTCGAAATCACTTGTTCTTTATAAAGGGAAATGTTCATTTGCAATTTTGCCCCAATTTTTAAGGTAATAACTTCAGCATATCACCACGATATCGGGATCACCATCTTTTTGCGTTCTTTTTTATTCATTAATTCTCAAAATTTATTATTTAATAAGGTACATTTTTATATTTATAGTGTTAGTTTGTATGTGATCTTAGTATTAATTTTCTTTTGTTAACAGCCACTTTTTAGATTATTACTGTTTTACTGCCGAGAATTTTCAACGATTGATCTGACTATTTTATTTTATTGACTCGTAACATTATAACACAGAACATGAAGAATATTAATAAAAACCATATACTTTGTAGATTTTTAATAGTCTTACAATTATATTTACTATAACATTGAGACCCAGATTGGCGTCGTTTGTTATTATTATTATCTTTATTATGTTTTTAAATTAAAGCGCTTTATTTTATAACTGACTCTTAGCTCTTCTACTTTTTCAATTTGAATTTATTATTCATTCTTACCTACACAAGCTAGCGTTGCGATGGTATACCTCTTTGAAAGACACGGACATTCTGGCATGCAATAAGTATCGATATGACGCAACGGTGGTCTCTCTGGCTCTGGAAGCGACTCGAACGAAGGCTGCGCGCTGTATCCTCTTTCATCCTCGAATCCCTTGTTATCTTTACTACCCTCACGTGTAGTTTCAAACTCCTCGTAACCGCCGGTAGTTCTTCTGAATCTGTAGGAAGTTGATGTTCTCAAATAGTAAATTTTTAATAGCTTGTATCATTTTTTGAAATACTCTCTTTAATTAAAAATAATACTATAAATAAACAAATGTAAAAAGAAATACGAGGGCAAGTCAGTAAGTTCTTAAAAAATCTGCAGTGGCATGTCACATTACTTTTTGACACATGATAGAGAAATTTAACAAGTTGAATGTAAAAACGCCAGTGGATCTCAGAGAAATCCTTAAACGAAGAAAGCGCGGAATTCATCGACAGATTTCATTTCTGTAGACGCAAACAACCTTTGTATTTTTTGCAAAATGGAAAAATACGAGTTTCGTGCAGTGATCAAACATCTATATATGAAAAAGATTTAGCCGAAAGAAATCAAAGCTAAGTTGGATAATGTTCATAAAACATCTGCACCAGCGTTTGCGACTGTATACAATTGGATGAATGAATTTAAACGTGGTCGTACATCCACATGTGATGAACATCGTTCGGGACATCCAATTGAGGCTGCTACGCCAGAAATCATCGATAAAGTCCACGATATTGTTTTTACTAATCGACGAGTGAAAGTACGTGAGCTTATTGAGGCCACTGGTATATCACATGACACAGTGATTTCAATTTTGCACGAACAATTGGGTATGAAAAAGCAAGATGGGTGCCACGTTCACTGTGGACCATAAGTGCGACCGTGTGACGATTTCAAAGAATGTTTGGAGATGTTTCAAAGTAATCCAGATGAATTTCTGCGTCGATTCATTACTGTGGACGAAACATGGATCCATTACTTCATACCCGAGACGAAGGAACAGTCAAAACAATGGACTTCACCGGGTGAATCAGCTCCGAAGAAGGCGAAGATCGTGAAGTCGGCTAAAAAGGTGATAGCCACAGTTTTTTGGGATGCACGCGGTATAATTCATATCGATTACCTTCCGTTCGAACCAAACGATCAATGGCGATTACTACGCAGCCTTATTGGACCGTTTCAACAACATTTTACAGAAAAAACGTTTCCCTATTTGGCGAAGAAGAAAGTGCTCTTCCATCAAGACAATTCACAGGTTCGCACATGCCCGGCACCGATGGCCAAATTCAACGAATTCCGCTACGAATTGCTTCCCCATCCAGCATATTCCCCAGATTAAGCCTCCTGCGACTATTTCCAGTTTCCAAATCTGAAGAAATGATTCGGAGAGGAAAGAGATTCACCATCAGAGAGCAGCTCATCGCCGAAACAGAGGCTTATTTTGAGGGATTGGATAAATCATATTATTCGGACGGCTTGAAAAAGTTGGAGAATCGTTGGATCAAGCTGAAAGGAGACTATATGTTGAGAAATAAAAATGAATTGATCAAAAAAGATGTGTTTTACTGTTTTTCTAAAAACTTATTGACTTGCCCTCATATTATATATGTATATACATATATATGTATATAAATATATTATATATATTTATAAATATATTATAATATATTATAAATATATTATAGTATTAATACATATATATATAAATATATTAATTAAGTATTTATTATAAATGGATGTAGTATATTACTCGGATAATTTCAATGATGCTTTCGTCTTGAGGGAGTCGAAAGCTACGAGACCCGCCGCTGCAAATCCGGACATTTTCCAATTATTGGGGTTGCTTCGTAATTTTGTATGATTGCAATGTTATTTGGCAGCCCCTGTAGCAACAAATATAAGTTATTTTGTAAAAAAAATCCAAAATACATAATGTACATTCAATACATTTATACATTATACAGCTTTATAAATAAAATAGGCCAAAATTATAATTGTAATAATAATTTAGATACTAAAATTAGATTTTTGAACATATTTTCCCAAATTGATATTAAACATTTTACAAGTATAATTCAACATTTTCAATATCCTTAAAAACAACTGTAGCGTTGCTGATATATTTCGGCTATTTACAGCTTCTTTCAGAAAGATCTGCTATGCCTATATAGAGTATCTCTACAGAACGGTGATAGGGGAAACCCGAGTAGGAGTGTTTATTTGGAGTGGCAGTCTCTCTACCCCTAATCCTCGAACTCTCGAGGGAGCATCTCCGGAGGGTAGAAAACTGTGAGAAGAAACGTTTCAACCCGACCGTACACTGAGATCATATTTTTCACTTAAAGTTTGTTGGAGACACATTTCAGTTAAATCGTAAAATCTTAACAAATTTACCCGTAATTAAGACACTGTATTGAAGGAAGGTATAATAAACTTTGACTCAGCGATTTAACTTCAAACTGTAAAATTTTTTAAATAAAAAATAATACAAAATATATAATTTTGAAATTTCTATGTATAAATTTCATATGTATAACTAGGTATATAAATATTAAAAACAATTTTTGTATTTTTCATAATGTGCAAGTCAATATCGTATTACAAATGGAATAACATATATTATGTACTTTATTTCAACTTTTATGATTAGCATTTTAATATATGTTCTTCGTACTAAAGAGTTTCTCATTGTTATATTCAAAATTAAGTATTCTTTTAGAGATCATGTACTTTCACTGTATGTCTGTAATAGTCTTATCGTAGATTGTAATCGTTGTCATTGCATGATGGAGTATGCAGCCTGCAAAAATCGTTATGAGGGTGCTGCGCTGATCATAAAGAGGCACATCAGAGGACAATGGCTCTCGGATATTAAAATGGCACGTGACAGACAAAAGGCACCAAAATGTACAGTACGTGTTAACGAAATAGGGTGGAATGATGAGTATATGGGACATGCTGTTTCAACTTAATGGACATTGAGCGACATTCGGCACTTTTGCAGTCCCTACGTCGTTACTTTACGCCTTATATACTTCCCGATATATATATATATTAAATAAAGATGTATTTTAAAAACTTAAAATTTAACAAACATCCTGTTTGTGTAAAAGGAAAAAGAATGAATAAGTATATAATTTCTTTAATGACAAGAACGACTAGACCAAAGACGTATAAATGACAGCATAATATATTCTCTCACGATTAACATTACAATTAATCTTCTCTGCGATATTATGTTTGTTTTTCTGAAGCATGAAGAATGTAATAAAGTAATAAAATGTAATATGAGGATTAAGAAAGAAAGAACAAAATAAAGATGTATTCATTGTCATGAATAAATAATAAAGGGTGTGAACACGAAAAGAAATCCACCGTAATATATTAAAAGGGAATTTTAATTAAAACAGAAACTCAATTTCAAGCTAATCGACGTAAGAATGGGGCAAACAAGTGTCGGCGTCTCACAGCCTTAGGCATTCGTACAAATCAAGCCTAAATGAATTCGTTATGATAGTATAAAGAAACATCAAAAGCTTTAATATCCACGGTTAGATCAATCATCGTATGGCAGATTTCGTATATTTACAGATCGCAATCGGCATTATTAGAATACTTATCTCTAGACTCGCTCTACAATAATTCATAAAAAGGAATACAAAAGAACGTTAGATAATTGTTAGATATTCGAATTGATTTAAAAATTTGACACACGAAATAATCACTTCTCGTTTATCTTTGCATTTATGCTGAATTTCTGAAATAAAAGATTCCCAGCAGAAACGAACTTATTGATGGAATTTCTTGATTATCTCATCGGTATAGAAAATAAACGATTTTGTCTTTGATTCTATTTAATCTTAAATTTCATAGAATCTATTTGTCAATTTCTGTCCAAATTGGGAGGAATTTGCTAGTAAAAATCAAATTAAAAGACGCAAATCTTCGTTTTAAAATTAAACAAATACTATATCACACTTCACTTATACTAAAATCTCACAATAATTTCTCTTCACCACTAATATATCAACGATCTCATCACCATTTAATAAAGAATCCCAAATTTGGTATCCAAAGACACATTGGAGTTGCACAAAAGGGTTCGCTTGCGAGCAAAATGGAATCATTAATTCGCGATTTTTCATACTTAAATAAAATAATATCGAACAGCGAACCGGAGATAATAAAAAAAATTCACGGGACTCACCAATAATTAAGTCCAGATACAATTACGAGCGGAGTGGGTAACGGTAGCGCGGGGTACGCGACGGAGAACGTCGTCGACGTCGCTTGACGTCGCCTGACGTCGTCGTCGTCGTCGTCGTCGTCGACGGCGGCGGCGGCGGTGGCAGCAGCGGTAGCGGTGGCGGCACCAACGAAGTTGACTTCTGGCCACGGCGTCAGCGCGTCTCGACGCAGCGACGCGATTGGTTCGTCAAGAACGACGCATCGATATCACTAGCCAATCGTCAGAGGTTACAACCCCCTTTAAATCGACCCAGGCGGAGCTTCCTATGCACCCCAGCCGAAAGTTTTGCAACACAAAACGACACGCACAGAAAAGAAATGATCGTAACGGCGTTAAGGTCGATTAACCGGACGTATTAACGTACCTACGCATTATCGATATGCTGAGATTCCGCTATGCTATTTAGGGAATCGTTCTTTTAAAGGGCAAGTATTTGTAATAAAGTAATTAGTTGTAACTATTTTCTCAATAGATTTTTTTTAATATGCAAAAGAATAAATTCTTGTATAGCTGTAATATTTTTATTAGATATTAATAAATTTTGTCATTTATTTTAAAAGAGTTTAAAACACATGTTTATAATTTTTTTAAAGTCTAGAAAATTATATAAAAAGATGTTTTCTTTTAATTTGACCGTATTAAAACTAACATTCTGAAAGTTTATTATTTTAATTTTAATTAGTATAGACCTTTATCGTTAAATTTTTGAATTATAAACGCTCGAGGATGAAAAGAGATTTTGTTATTAATTAAATATTACACAAAAACTCCAATTTTGTTATATAATAAAATTGGAGTTTTTGTGCGACATATTCCTTATCTATTTAATTCATTATATTATCTAAAATTGCAAATAAAACTTAAAAATTAAAAATAGTAATACGATTTCTTTGTTAAAGTTGATGATCATATCATGTCTGATTGAGGTAAACGACAAAAATTTTATCAGTATAAACAGACATGAAGATACATTTCGCAACATCTAAGATTTCAATTACTTTTAATTAAATTTTTTTATGATAATTTGTTAACAATTAAGAAATAAATATATTTTGAAAATCCTTCAGATTCGGTAGCCAACGTGCATTGTTACAAACAGAGCAATCGAGGGTAGAGACCCTTCCGGTGGTTGCCAGGAAATATCGATCTGCTCCGAGGAATGGATGCTGCTTCTCAATGGTTGGGGTACACTTTATCTTCCCTTCGAAGTCGGACGCCCTAAATAACTTGGATTTCACTATCATTCTGACATACCAACGAACGCCTGTGAGAGTACTTTCCATAAAAGGGATGTGATTTGTCGGCAAGCTTATCGCTTTGTGGTGATTTTACCAAGTAAAAAATTTTTTAATTCTTTCACAAGAACATTGATTTTCACGTTGATTTCTCTTTACAATATCTGACAATGAGTGTGTGTGTGTATATGTGTGGGTGTGGGAAGGAGGAGGGAGGGAGAGAGAATTTTCAATATAGTCTGATTTTAATTAATTTTTCCTAAAATCTACAAAATAATAACATAAAACATTTTTATTTAAAATAATAAGCAATATATCTCTCGCCATCTCATTGCCATATTTCATATATAAGTTATATATAGAATAAATTTGCCACGTAGTGACATTAGACAATTTTTTATATTTCGTAATCGTTACACAATACTTTTGTTTTAGTTTATACACTAATACATTTAATACATTTGGTATCTCTCAAGTGCTATCATAATTTTTAATTTATATAAAAATAAATTTATGGAAGAGGACATTAAATGAAGAAAATTCCAATAACTTGAAGAATATTATTACGGTTAAAAAACTATTAACATTAAAAATGTTATTATGTGATATATTAACGCTATTAGTTTGTAATGTTTTGCGATATCGATATAAAACAAATAAATAAGATATAAAAAAACATAATAATATAATACATCAAACTTTTTTCACAAATCGCTACTAGAAATCGATACCGTGCTAATTTCATAAGTGTCGTCCGGTTGTAATGTCTTTATGAACGAACGTTTAATGCTTTTGCAATTCTACATATCGCAATAATCTTAACTTGAAATCTAAATCAAGATCGTCCATATAATCATTGCAGGCATCGATTAACATCGCGAAGGCATATCTTTTGCGTAGATTAGCATTGGATCGTGAACTATCATTGGAAAAATCGAACATATCTTTTTGAAATATTTATCTATTCTTTCTTGAACATTAACATGCAAATCTCTTTACACTGTTTAGTTCCAATATATCGTAAAGTTCATGTGTATTTCTAGAATTTTTTTCCAAGTACGTAGTAATAATGTTTGAAACGATTCATTGCTATTGACGTTAAAATATTTAATCTTGATATTTGTTTCTGGTCCTGCATTGATTATATTCATACCGCATTTGCTTATTTTTACGATGATTTTGATTATGCATTTGCTTACAGATCCGCTTATTATTACATGTCTTATCTTGCTGTTTATATGTGATGTGTCCAAAATATATATTTTAAATCATTTTCTGTAAGAAATGCTTTGGTCGATTGCGAAGAAATTGTTATACTTGTTTCCCAATTTTTCAAATCGTATCGATGACAGCTTCTGATATGTAGTTAATATTTTTCCTAAATTTTTTCTTCTCATCATATCGTATTCGATTATTTTTATTTAATTTTTGTTTTTCTATATCTTATAGAAGTTAGTAAATCATAAGACAAAAAAGGTTTAATCGAATGGAAGTTTAATAAGGCCTCATTGTTATCATTTTCCAATCTGTGATCATAAAAGTTTATGTTCTCTTTAGATTTTTCTTTTCCTTTGTCTTATGGATTAATAGAATCACATTTGAAGATTCACAAGACGACGTGGGATAGCTTCGCTTGCAACAATCATAAGTTGAACACGAAGTTATGCTGTAATTCTACAAAAAATAAATAAATTTAAGAAAGTCTCACTTTGAAAATTATACCTATAGATTTTTAATTTAATAAAGCCAGAAACAATTAAAAAATATTACACTCAAACATTGATATAGAAACACAATCAAATTTTAATTTTATATGTTAATAAAATATTGCTATTCAGAATTATAACCTTTACTACACATTTGTTATTTGTCTTTTTCTTTCTAGTATCTTCAGTTTTCGATTCTTCAGTTTTCCAAAATGTTTTAGTCATTTTACTATTATTATTTATTTTATTGTTAAACAATATTCTTCTCAATTTTTCACGAATCAGACGTTTTATTTTGTTGAAAGAATTGCGAAACTTTGTTATCGCGAGTACCATTTGCGGTCGTATTTCCGCTGAATGATTTTTTGGATATCTCCGAGATGCTGTTCTGTGTTCGATTATTGTTGAAGTTATGTCATGAATACCGTTCGCTGATCTCATGCATCTGCATCCACGAAGCATTGATTTTTGGAATTTATCTCGCCTGTCGCTTTTCGCAAATTCACTTGTCGCAAACGAACGACAATATAGCGATGCGTTAGATGTCGAGTAATTTTTCGAACGTAGATATTCTCCTGTTGAGATGTCGGAACTTCTTGAATATCCATTGGATCGAAATCTTCCTTTCAACACAGAAAATCTTTCCGACGATATAACGTCAGAATTTTTCGTTTCATCTGTTACATCTAACATTTCTTTACTTATATCAGAAAAAATGTGATTTCTTTCCTTGGAAACAATTAAAGTATGCGTAGAAAGACTTGCTATTTCGTTGCATCTATCACTTGTTTCCTTGATAGATGTATTTTCAGATGTCAACCAAACTGTTCGTGGATAATATGTGTCTATATTGATTTCTTTTGACAGTATCTTTGATCTAGACATTTGAATTGAAATTGTTAACGAATTGTTGCTTCTGTATGACACCGTTGAATAATCCATACTTCGAGCTGTTAGTGCATCAAAATTATTTTGAGATATTTCAAAAGCACAAATATTTTTTCTTAAAATATTATCAATGACTGTGTCTGTAAAATCATCATATTGACAAGAACAATATGAGTTACATTCAATTTCTAGTTTTGCTGAATTTAATAAGCTATCATTTTCTTGCGTATCAACTTTATTGTTTGAGAAACGATTATAGTTTAATTCTACTAATTGTTTATCATACTCTGAATTTTTTGTGAATGATGTAATACTACATCTATTAGTATTTGTACCAACTTCGTTTTCCAAATTCGATTTTTTATTCGACGAACAGTCGTGTTCGTTAGTAACTTGCGAAAAATGGTCCAAATCTTTGTTTGTCTCTATTTTACTAAAAGTATCTTTAATTTTATCGTTTGTTTCGATAAAATTTTCGTATGATATACATGTACAATTTGCATTATCATACTCAGAATCTTGTGCGAATAATCTAATACCGCATTCATTATTATTATTTATAGAAATTTCTAAATTTGATATTTTATTAGAGAAACAGTCGTTGGTGTCTGTAGTCTGCGAGAAACTGTCCAAGTCTTTGTTACTAAAAATATCTTCAATTTCGTTGTTTGTTTCTATAAAGTTTTTGTATGATGAACACGTGTGATTTTTATCATTTACTAATTGCGTGGATATATTATTCCCTGTAATTAAATTATTCGATTCAAGAATCTCTTTTCTGCACGTTTTTACATCGTCGTTATAATTGATACTTATCGAATTCAAAATTGTGCAGTATTCTCGATTTCTTTCAACAGAATTGTCAACGCATGACGTCATGTTGTGCACATCTCCGACATTATCTCTGCAAAGATCATCACAAGGGGAGTTTACAAGATTTTGAATATATCTTGGAACATTCTCACTATTTTCTGTTTTGTTTTGCGCTATGTCTGTTACTGTGTTTTTTATAAAACTTCGATCTGATTCATTCGATTGTGAACAGCGTGCGTTAAGCTTTTCAGCTTTTTGGTATGCATGGATATGTGCATCATTCAAATTCGTACCATTATATTTCAAACATTTTAATTCGTCAACTTCAGTGCTTGAAGACAAAATAGAGAAATTTTCTTCAACCATACATTTATAGATATTCCGACAAATTGGTACTCTCGCAACGAAAAGGTATTTCTTGATATTGGGAGCTTTTAACTTGAAACTGATGTATCCAGAATATATTTCGCAGTTAAGGCATAACTTTTTTGTCAGCTCGATATTTAATTTTTCTATAACACTATTGAGACACGAGCAAACATTGTACATGCTATTTTCAAACTTTTGCTTCATCACTATCAAACAAGATTCGATTATAGATGGATCAGCTTCAAAAATACGCCTAATTAAATTATTCCGTTTACAAGGCAAAGGTAAGCGAGTGACATTAACGCTCGAAAACGTCGAATATTCATAATAATTTTCTATTTGTATTTTATAAATAATTATTTTTAATTTCAAATTATTTCGTATCTTCTTCGATTCGGTATTGCATGATTTCTCATTAAAAGATTTATGAATTTTATCAGTACTATAAGCATTATGCCTAGTAGTTGATCCAGTTGCAACGCAAGTAGAATCATAATTGAAATTATCTTCTTTTTGTTTGAGAAAATCTTTTTGATTTAAAACAAGTACTCGATGTTTTTGATATGTTGATGTCGTTGGTTGGATGTGTTCGGTACTTCTGTCATAAACGTTTTTTGGTTTGACAGTTTTTTTACACTTGATTGATCGTTTTGTATTGCAAGGTATCGTATTTAAATTCATGTTACGGTCCATTGAAATAGTATTGAAATTCCTAGTAAATATAAAATTTGGTGTAATTTTATGTGATAATCGATAAATAAAGCATCTTCGATAAACATTAATAAAGGAATGATCTTTTATTTATATATAAGTTAAGACATGTTAATTTGATAAATTTCATTCAACCGTTGATATACTTGAAATATTCCATTTTTAATTTTTAGTAAAAAAAATATTTTCTTTATTACATAACATACATGAAGCAATTGCGATTTAAATAGTCTTGCTCGTTGACAAACTTCCATACATTCAAGTTTTTTAAAATATTGTTTTTGATGCCTAACATGTTTAATTCCTCGCAAACTTTTTTCAATCTATGGTGTAAAATGACAGTGTCCAGAAAACAGACGATCAGATCATCCTTTATTATGCGTTTGATGGTATTTTTCATAATTTCTTCCACCGTGCTGATATCACATTCAACGACTCTGTTCAAAGGATCTTTCCACATAATTATTATATCGACGAATTTCTTGAAACATGGAAACTGCTTAGCCCATCGAGAATTTGTATTATACACGAAATGCTCCAATAAGGACTGGAATCTATATGTCAGACTAGGCACAAAAAGTGCTCGAATCTTGTCGAAATAGGGACTATATTTCTTTAAATTGAATACTGTATCGCCTTGGCTCGCACAATCGCATGGATTTATCTAAAATATAGACTAGACGTTATGAAGAAGCCAACTATATTTTTTTAAATAATAAATCGTAATACATGTATGTAACAGAAAATAATTTTTTACAATTTTATGTACAGATAAAATTGTACTTTATTTATTTATTATTTAGTAAACATTAAATTAAATAATTTAGAAAATAACGAATATGGATAACGTGTCTTTTATTACCGGTATTGCCTGCTCATTTCTAATCGTGAACAATTGATCCTTTGTCATGATAAAATTAATTAGAAAAAAAGAGATAATACAATTCAAATATATTTAGAAAGTGTATAACAATTTTATGCGCGATTCTCAAACAATCCATATATTATTCTTCGAATAAACATTTCGATTGATATTTTGCAACCTAGAAATACACAGTCAACGTTATTCTTCTTCTTGAAGATGGATACAATTAAAAATTGAATCGGTTTGTTTTTCCTACCTTCACACTTTGTATCCATCAAAATATGACTTGGTTTTTGCGTAATAAGCAAGGTATTTCGTATTTATTACTACATAATGATGTCAGCTTATATGGTAAATGCGCAATTATGCTGACACTATATGTATAGTACTGCAGGCAACGCAATATTATGTAAGACAATTTATCGTGCACTACTTTCATTCAAACTACTTAACTTTAGTATCTCCATTGCCACTGCGCGCCAAAATGTATAGAACCCACTAAATATGTATTAAAAACGATACATGTAAAACCTTCAGACATATTATACATAAAGAGCAAGAAAAATTGTGTAAAAATTAATTTATTGATTAATTGAAATGTAACAGATAAATTATAACTCTCTAAAATAGTTAGAGAGTCTGATTTTGATATAAAAACGTTATTGGAAAGTTGAAATTTTTTCCAGCATAAAGAAGCATAAAATTTCTATATTCTCTATAAGAAGTTATAAAATCTTTCTTCCTTTTTGTGTAACATTTATAAAATTAATTATATATTTTGACGTATGAACGCGCTTTTTTTGACAAGAAAAATTCTCAGAAAAGAAATCTTTTCAAACAAGCAGAATCGTATTCTTCGCCAAAATATGCCTATATTACTCTTCGATATTACTCTTTTCGTCACGTAAAATAAAAAAATTATTTGTACTTTCGCACGCAAGCTGAAACCAATATCTATAGTACTATATGTACGACAAATAAGTGCAGTATCTGTATGGTGTCATGCGTGATAACCGTAGCAACGTAACACGGGGGTGGATTTCATATACCGTGACGAGAGCAGTGAAATACAAAAGGTTTTCGGCTAAGAGGGAAATCGAGATCACGGGGAGATGGTGAACGTGGGTGACGAAGAGAGAATTCTACGAAATTCAGTGGAATAGTACGAGACAGCCGTAACCCATTCACGTAGTGGCTCTCCACGGGGATCAATACTTGTGACGCCGCGCCGCGCTGCGCCGCACCGAGATACTGATTGTGAGAGTAACAGCTCCATGCTCCACGCTGACTACGCACGCAGCATACCGCCTCTACCACCGACGGAGAAAAATCCCTGCGTGAGATATCCCGGAACGTTTGTCCTTTCCGTTCGGCAAGATTTGGTGTACTCAATTTTATTAGCAGCACTTAATTATTAATATGATATTTAATTATTAATATTCACATATCTATCTGATTTTCACTCATTTCATTTATTTATTTACCTATATAAAAATAGTATTTTTTGTACGGTTCTTAATATATGACCAACAATTTATGTAATTATAAACAATTAGTCGTTTAAAAATACATCCGCATATCAGCTTCATTAAATAAAATATGAATCCATCAACAATTAACAACGTAATAAATATTTGTTATGATTGTAATTTCTCTGAATTCATTTCTCAAAGCAGCAATGATTCATCTTACGCATCTTTTTCAACCAAATCACACTAATTAATAAAATATTATCAATTGTGCGATTTTAAAAATTAGTGCTAATATAACAATAACAAATTCATGTGATACTGGCTACTCTCACTCAAGAGGGATAAAGCCACTCTAGAGCACGAAAAATAAACCTAACTTTATGAATTTTTTTCGAGAATGTAATGAAAGAAATAAAAAAAATGTATTTTAGGTCTTTGTTGTACTTACATTGAGAAGTGTAAAAAAATATTTTCTTTATAGTGATTTTGTTAGAGGCGCTACAGCTCTGCAATGGTATCATCTTCTCATGGACAATGCTCTGCGGCCGGAACGGTAACTTCGGCAATTTTTAACCTAGAACCAAAATTTTTTAAATCTAAATTCCAAAAGCTACAGAAAGACATAACGGAAATTATAGTTTATAATATACCATTTTTGGAAAAAAATGGTACGAATTTAAAGTAAATGTTGAATTTATATATAAGGTAAATAATAGATGAAAAATTGTTTAGATAAAAAAAAGTATGCAACGTAAAAAAAAATCCGTACGTGTTTTTCTAGAGAATGCAATATTGAAGCTACAGTTAAAATTTCAAGTAAATCGGTCAAGATTTGATAGGAGTTATGTTTCCGACCAGTTTGAAGAAAGTGATTTCGAGAAAAATGTATTTAAAGTTTTATGTAACAATCGGCGACAGAAATGTTTACCTTTAATCTGCGATGCCTGCATCATATACAATAGGCCTTCCTCGTTGATGTTCTTTTCTTCCTGATCCTTCTTAGCCAATTTTAGAGATGATCGAGTAGCACGTAACTAATTCCTTTATTATCTTTAAAAAGACCCCTTCGCAAAAACTGCAAATCGTAAAAAAGTACGACGCTTTAAACTTCTAAAAATGACACTTAGGAATTTTTCTTTGCTGTAAGACCTTATTTCTAAAACCTTAAAGCATCATTTAAGCAAAAAGAATAATTTTTGAAAATTTTGGAGTGGCTTTACCCCTTGATCGCTGCGTTATTGCAAGTAACATTTTTATCCTATGGTAAATAATGCAATATATCTGGAAATCTAAAAACGTCGTGCGTACACAATATCTCTGTAACGAAAGAATATCAAAAAGCGTATCGGATATGGGAATAACAGGCTCCATCATTGATCGATCATAAGCACAAAATTTCATGCCAACAATAAACATATTTAGTCGTTTGACATTATTCTACTTCCTCTCAATTATTAATTTTGTAATAAGTATAGATCAGCGTTATATCATACATAACAAGAAATAGATGCAACTCGTTTGACAATGGATGTCGGAGCATTCTCTGGTTTATGTCGAATGCCGTTTAATGTGAACGTAATCCAGTTTTATACGCGCAAAGGAATCTTTGGTATCGGAAGCCGACTAAGACTCGAGGACTTTTCGAACGGGGAATTATAAGACAAGCCAGATATGGATGCTGCGCTGGAAAATCACTACGAGCTTCAAGAATGTTCTAATACTCCTTCCCTTAGGACATATCGAATAAATCGTTGCGATATATTTGTTCACCGCTTCGAAATAATACTTTATATAAACTCCAAGAAATCGTTACAATGAAAAAATTGAACTGTTAAAATTTTTTTCAGAAAACAATTGAAAAAAATTTTGTTTTCAATTATTAAATAAATATATAATAGAGAATGCAAAAATGCTTTTTACATTAGCAGATTAAAAGTTATTTAAACTTTCTATCTTTCAGATATTTTTATGTAAAGAAAAAATTTTTAATCAATATAAATAGATAAAATATTGATTTTATATATTTTTTCTCGTTTCAAAAAATATATCCTTTTACAGTTAATTACACATTTTATTAAAAATAATTGACATTATTTAAATAATATTACAAGAAACAATTTAAAAATGCTATAAGTCATTAACGTGATAAACATAATCAAACTTGGCGTGGTGAGGTGAAGGCGAAATGAGAATTTGATTTTGTAAATTGAGTTGGTGAAACGTAATGCAGGACAACAACTAATGGACGGTTTATATATACGTTCATAACAAGGGGGAACAATCTTTTGATCTTTCATCCCTACGCCGCTACACTTTCTATTTTAACCCTCCTGTAACCGGCACGCTTAATGAAAGTGCCGGCTTGACAAACAATCATCACTATGCTACTTCATCAAGCTTTTATCAAATTTGGAATTTTTATTTCCGTCGATTTTATGCGCATCTCGCGGATTACTTTTACGTCACAGAACGATAGATTGTAGGTAAAAAAGTAGTTTTGAAAAATGTAGAAATATTTATATTTCCAATTTTCATATTTTTTTAAAATAAATTTTAGTATAACAACATACATTAAGAAAATATTTTTTACTTTGCGTAACAAATTGTAATGAATAATATATATACCTATATGGTATATGAAAACGTAATATAGCCAGGGAAATAAAATGATTCACTTTAATTCTTAGAAGGTATTACGAAAAGAAATTACATTTTCGTAATGTTAACTCTTGAGCTTCGTGTTTGCGAAATAAAACGACCTCGTGCTTTAGAATATACTTTATAATTTCTCGACAGGACTTTGAGAGACGAGTTGGTTTTTCAATATCATTATTCAACGATGTGTCCTGCACACAAATCACATTTGCAGACAACCGTTGCTTATGAATGCAATTTAGATAAGCATACAACCGTTATATATATATATATATATTAGGTAATTATATATATATAATTGGTACGAAGATTATTGTATAAAATCATGAGATTAAACGCGTTTTAAAATGCATGCAAATTTAAATAATACTACAATAGGTATTGAATATTTATTGATAAGAGAAAGTGATGAGAACAAGAATATACAGTCAATGCAAATAGCACATTGAATGGTATTTATACTTCTTTTTATCTTTGAGATTTATAGTTTAATTGAACGATGTCAATTGAAATATTTTGAAATGATTACACAGATTTTCAAGAGATTGTATTATGATTGATTTTAATAAACATTGAAAGTCTTAATTCATCAGTGTTTTTTCTACATTTATCTATTTATCGAGAAGATTCTCCTATTTTTCAACTGTATTGGTCACGGCAGCCCCGTCAAATGACCTTTAATAGTGGCTCGATTTCACGAATGTGGGTTGAACAGGGAGGATGGTGGGCGAACGGGCACGTTGTCGAGACAGGATCATAAAGGGTGAAATAATGGAAAAAAGTATAAATCAATACTCTGGTACTCGCCGAGACCGTGAACGGCGCTCGTTGCGACGGCGAGGGCGATCACGGCCATCGATGACGACGACGAGGAGAGAGAAAAAGCGTGTGTAGCGAAAACTAGTGTGTGACATCTCTCTTCACGAGGATATCCGGGCTGCATTGTCGGTTTTCTTCGCAGTGTACCATTTGTCGCTGATTATGGTAAGTTACAATGTTATAGGCTCGTTGCAAACATTGAAATATTTCGCAGCTTTTTAAGACACAGTTACCCAATTAGCATGCCATATTTAAGAAATATGTTTTTTAATGTTTATTCAATGTTTTTACAACTATTTTACATTAAATAAATTTTTTAAAAATATTTTTTAAATATGGTACGCTGATTGGGTAAAAGAGATTCGCTGAAGTGCTCTAAGAAAATCTAAATTATGAAAATGTATACGTTATAGGCTCGTCGTAAAAATTGAAATATTTCGCCGCTTTTTAAGACATAATTAAACGATTCGCAAAGGTGCTCTAAGAAAATCTAAATTATGAAAATTTGGATGAGAATTTGTTTAATTTATTTAAAAAAGCTATGTTATTTTAATTATTGTTATAATAATATATAACAATAATTAGCAATATAGCTCTTCCTAACTGTAATTATTGATGTATTAGTAATCAACATAAATTAAAAGGGCGAAGTAAGAGTCAGAAGTAAAAATTACATTTAAAATAATATTGAAATATCAACATATTTAATTCTAAATCTAAAACACAATAGAGAATATACAAAAATTACTTAAAATTAAAAACATGATGCACGTAACAAGTTTCGACTCTTCGATTGAGTCCTCTTCAGACTTCAAAATAGTTTCTTTCGTAGATAAAATTATTATAGATAGTCAAAATATAATATTGTTGTTGAAAAATTTGATAATTCGCAGGTTAACAAAGTTTCTGACTCTTACTTCGCCCTTTTAATTTATGTTGATTATTGTTATATTAAGAGTCCTTATGAATATTTTCATCTTATTTGTTGATGTATTAGTAGATATAACTCTTTCTTTATACAAGATGTTAAAAAATTTATTAGAGAAATATCAAATTATAATCGGTATATAGACAAATCTATCAAAAATTGATTTTGTTCAGTGTTTGTTATATATAAATTTTGTCAGCAGAGTGCCAAACAGAAATGTGCTAGAAATAGCACAATAAGATAGAATTTATCAGCAAAAATTGATTAAAATTTATCAATTCATCAGTAATTATTTAAATACAGAACACATATTATATTTAAATAATACATAATTACGAAGTGGGAAATTCTGCTTGGTTTCTAAAGCCAATTTGCGATAAAATTATGTCGGCAGATTCTGTTGGTAGAATAAGATCTTAATCTGGACGTAGCTAAAGCCAATCTGCCGCATTATTTCGCTTAAATCTACTATAGGCAAATTGCTAATATTTTGCTTATCGGAATATTGTAGTGAAAAAATAAATGACAAATTGTAAGAGAAGAAACTTTTGTACTATTCCACAGATGCACGCATTGATTATCATGCTCTACTGCATTTTGCTCCTGTTGATTGCTGTTGCGGCACGGTCGAATATTTACTTGCCTTTAATGAAGGTAACTATGAAAATATCAACAACTTCATACAAGTGTAAAAAGTAGATGAAATAAAATGAATTGAAAGGAATTTCCTTCTGCAAAATAGAATATTTAATCTTCAAATTCAGAAATTGATTCACAAGTTTTTGAAAATTCATTTTCTCTCCTTCAAATCCTAGTTCATAGACACCACAAGAATCATGTCAGCAAAAAAAAAAAAAAACAATTAATTTTTTTCGATTTATAATGTGTATTCCTCGTAGAAATTGAAATAAACAAATATGAATGGAAAAAGATAAATATTAGGAAAAAATTCAGTAATTTCAGAGACAATCCGAATCATTGATTCCGAAGATGTATGTAACATCGCAAAGTAAATTCCTATTTATTCTTTTTAACTCATCCGTTTTTCGTAGGATGTTAAAAGAGCGTGTAATCCACTATTTGGATGTACCCAGGAGGAGGATTTGTGGACCGAGAACTTTCTTCAAGAATTGATCGATCAAGTAGGAAATGAATTTGTGAATGCGCCCGATTCGTACTTGGAATATCAGGAGGAGAAGGCCAAAGAATTGCCCATGGAATTGCCTGCCGATTATGACAGTATCGACACTTTGAACCCGAATCCAAGTATACGAGATCAGGAGTATCTGCAGCACAGTACGCTCTGGGGTCATCAACGGTTCGACAATAATAAAAATAATAACGACAAGGGCTACAATAGACATAGCATTCAATTTAATCTGAAAGGACTCAAAGACGAGAAGGCGGAAAATCCTTTACCGGCTTACTGCACTCCTCCGAATCCTTGTCCAGTTGGATACTCGAGTGTGTAAATAAAATTCAACCGTATAATTTAATGAAGAAACAATAGAAAAGTCGTTGCAAAAACATTTTTTTTTTTTCAATCATAAAATTTACTTTACTCTATACTTCCGATTTTCTCAAGTGTTTTTTTTTTCCCTTGCTCTATCCTACTTATACGGTGAAAATATGTGAAGAGTACATTTTTTTAAATTTTTAATCATCAAATATCTTTTTTAATTTGGAAGACAATAATTTCATATATCTGACGTATGATTTAAAATTTATTCCTATACTTTTACAGGTGAAAGTAATTGCCTCACCAATTTCGAAAACACAGCGGCGTTTAGCCGCGACTATCAAAGCGCTCAGGATTGTATGTGCGATACAGAACATATGTTAGAGTGCTCCAACGATTCTGGAAACAGTAACAGTTTGTCGAATATGCATATTTCGAGTTCCGATATCAGTCAAATTATCGAACAGTTTCAGGTAATTGAAATATACAGTTATCGTATATTAAACAATCAAAATTACAAGAATTAATTTATATTTTATCCTTCTGTCAAAGGAAAGGAGCACTTTTGAATTTATAAATAAAATTAAATGGTATGAAATAATGAAATTAAAAGTATTTATTCTCTTTCAGGAAGAAAATCCGTTCTTTCAAGGAGAAAAATTGCCCATAGCTGCAAAGAAAGGTATACACGTGATCAATTAAAGACTGCAGAAACGAAACTTGAGAAAAAATTAGAACATAAACATGAGAGTACATATAATACAAACTTCATTGATTCAAAGTTTAAATCGATCGAGAAAAGGACTTTAGCTTCAGATATTATTATTATAGATGTATAATTAGGCTTCGCCTAATAATAATAATAATAATAAATAAAACACGCATTTACGCAGCGTTAAAGCGTCAAGTATTGAGAAACGTCGTAACGTTTCCAAATCTGATGATGCACGGACAAAGTTCTTAAATGGACCACGGCTGTTTATCAGCGTGTATATTAAAGTATCTTTTTTTTCATTGATCTTGCCAGATACGTATAATTATTATATATACCTGTACGTTTTAATTAATATTATAGTGTCTATAAAAGTTGCGATTATTCAGTTTATAAAAACAATATTGTAAACATGTTAATATCCCTTTAACTTACGAAAATGTATAATATGAGTATTTTGTAAGATTTGCAAAAGTCTGTATTTTGCAATATTTAGAAAACACTCTTTGTATTTTCGAAAGCGATTGAACATCCATTAAACTTTACATATCCAGATGTTTCAATTTTTCATAAAATTAAAGAGAAATCTATCATAGATGTCAATGTATGTATATTTATAGTAATTCTGATACAGTAAAATATTATATAAATTGTATACACTACGTATATAATTGTTTGTCAATTATATTTTATTTTAATATATAGTATATCAGAAAATATTTATTTTCATTATACAAAATCTCTGAAATATATACTTTAACAGTAAATAAAAGCTTATGTTGTTTTTAATCATAACCATTTAATTGTACTAATTATCATTAAGGTACAGTATCATGTAAATTAGTTTTTAATTTATGCATGCATGTGTGTGTGTGTGTGTGTGTGTGTGTGTGTGTGTGTGTGTGTGTGTGTGTGTGAGAGAGATAAAAGATACAAAGAAAAATATACAATGACTATATGCTATACAAAAATTTATAAACTAATTAAGGTATTTTATTCTTTAATATAGTTATAATGGTAAATTACATACAGTATACATTAATATAAAGTCAGAAAATTATAAATTAACATATAAAATATTAATAATACTGCAATTATGTCATCAATTATGCATTATAAAGATTTATATAAAAATACAAGATAAACCTTTTCTCATTTTGTAGAAAACTAAAATCAGTTATCATAGAAGAACTATTATACATTCAATTTTTACAATTTACATGCCTTGTCATTTTATTTGACATTTATTTTGTAAGTAAATAATATCATTGCTTTCTAAAACTCTTTAATATCGGATATATATTATTTAATGCATCTTGTAGTTCAATCCTATTTTTGGCTCCTAAAAGTTATATCAAATAAACATATTTAATAATTATTTAACTGTCTGCTTGCTGTAATATCTGCAAAAATCTTATGTTTTACAATATTAAAACATACCTGTTAATACAACTTTACCATTTACAAATATTAACAATACAACTCTAGGTACTACCATTCTATATGTCAGACCAGGATATAACTCTGGTTCGTAACTAGAAAACTGTCCATGCATGTGATTTAAATTCTCCAACTTAATTGGGAATTTCAAATCACACGTTGCAACTATATTCTGTATTTTAAAACTGGAAAACTTAACCTAGAAAAAAATATAAAAACACTAAGTACATTAAGTAAAAACTTTCTCGAGATCTGCAAACATGAGATGTTGCTTACAGGGAATCCAAGTTTCTGGATTATCCTGGCAAATTTCTTTGCTGCTAAAAACGAATCTTCCTCGCTTCTCGCTCCAGTACATACTAATTTACCAGAGCGAAAGATCAGCGCTGTTGCTCTAGGATTCTGTATTCTCATTATCAATCCAGTAAACCTCGCTGGATTGTATTCAGAATTCCTAGTTCTCACATTAATGTACATGAGCTTTAATTCCGTTTGCAAGTTAACTGTAGAAACTACATTTCTGAAAAAATAATGCACACACTATACTGATACTGAAAGATCTTACACCCTACACACATCTAAAAGTCCATTCTACAATGGATAGTAGTAGTAGTGAATTAAGGAATAAGCGTAGAAACTAACAAATCATAGTCGAATGTGAAGAGGATAATTAACTATCATCGGTCGATTTCTACGCCTATTCCATAATCCACTACTGCTACTGTCCATTATAGAATGGGCTTAGGCCTGATTGCACCAACGTGATTTCGATTTTAAGCGAAACTTAAAACTGTCTCTGTCTCCCTTTCAGCTATAAAACGAGATAAATAGAGTTTTAAGTTTCGCTTAAAATCAAGAAGTGTTGGTGCAACTGGGCCTCAATAACGCAACAGTAAGCAGATATTTCTATGCAACACAAACGATTACATGACTGAAGACCTACTGTAAACAAGGCTCCACAACTTCTTTCGTGCTATTAATTGGCTTTATCGGAATCATCATCGATTGTGGATTGGCATTTTGTGATGTACTTGGTCTCGGCACATTGGTCTACGAATAAAGTTTACATTATTTTAGAAAATGTACATAAAATCTAGGTGAACGTATTTAATAACCTACCGATAACGGTGGTGCCATGGATCCATCTTCGCTTGCATTTTTAGCTGGATTATTGAGCAATCTCTTCAATTCGTTATCTTCCTGCGCGACTTGTGTCATTTTGAGAAAACGCCGGTGTCAAGTGCAAGCATTAAACTCATTCATACGGAATGGCACATGGCTCGTTTAACTCAGCCTAACCTTATAATAATCGGCATAATAAACGGGAATGTACACAGAATAGATCCCGCATCTCAAAAATCAATGGAATTATACTCGATTCCGACGCGTTTTTTCATAAAACAAAATAATCTGGTAGAAAAAAGATATTCATCGCAACTCTGAACGCACAAGGTTAATTCACACAACTTACATAACTGCATAAATTTCTTCCTTCTTCTTCTTAAATTTGAGTGATTCATAACCAGAGATGCCGGTGTAGCCGGATTATCGTGGCCAGTCTCATGGCCGCAGCACAACAAATCATAATCCTTCTTTTCCTCTCACTTCGCGAAAGAGAAGCATTTTGATTGGTTGATTCTCTTATGCGTCATGCATTAAGGTACATTTTCATGCTGACGCTCGACGCCCATTTCTGGCGTCAAAACTGATCGATATTTGGATTCCCGAGCTAGAAGCAACGTCAAAAACGCCAAAGCTCAACTGAGTTGAACTTTTACGTTTGACTTACGCTTAACATTATTGACGTGCGATTCACAAATAAAAGACTGATCGATATTTGGATTCCCGAGCTAGAAGCAACGTCAAAAACTGAGTTGAACTTTTACGTTTGACTTACGCTTAACATTATTGACGTGCGATTCACAAATAAATTTCCGTTTAACCGTAATCTATAATTGGTCAGTTTTAAATTTTTATAGTTCAAAAAATTATTGCTTAGATCTAAAAAATAACACATAATTTTAAATTGTTTTTCCAAGAAATCACATATATTAATGTCCTTAGAAATAACAAATATATTATGTCGGACCGCTCGACGCGACTCGAACCGAGCCTCGAGAAGTAGTTCGGATTGCAAAGCCGACGTTTTGCCGCGGAGCCAAACAGCCCGACGCGTATGATATTTGTTTATTTCCTACAATTAAGAAAAATACAAATACAAAAAAACGCTAGGACATCTTTCAATTAAAAGTAACGCACAAAGATTCATGTATAAAAATAACGTAAATTTTACATATTTCAGCCTTGCGTTTCGGAAGAACCCTAATCCTAAACTCATCCGTTTGCTTCTTGTATTCCTCAAGTCTAAACAATTTCTCCATTTAATATTCCCCTGTATTCCCCACCGGTCTCGCTCCCACGTGGGGACTTCGTCGGCCATAATTTGTTTTTGCGACTCGCCGCCTGTGGCGGTAATTCTTTGATACCGGCCGTATCGACTCAGTTCGTGGCGTTCGTGGTCGGGGCTGAATTGGTCTGAGTTGCATTGATTAAACTTTATTACACAGTAAAAACGTGTATCATTTATAAAAATGCAGGTGCCGCCAATTTTCATGGAATTGTCGTTAGACGATCAGGTAAATTTGCAAAATTAAATAATATTCGCGGTTAATTTCCGTAGAAATATTTTTTTTGTGGCATACATACATATTTGAGACATATGTGATATTTGTAGGTTATAAATTCATTGAAATGAATTTACCTTAAAGAAGTGTTATAATATAATTATAAAAAGAATAGTAATATTAATAATTCTGTAACAAAAATCTCTTTCATTTATACATAAAGATTATTGTAGGGTCTGTTTTTTGTTCCTGCATTGTCTGAACTTAATGCATAAGGTGCAATAAGTTAAAATGAAACAAACGTATATTTGTTTCACATCAACTTATTGCACCGTGTGTACTAGTTCAGATCAGAAGGTGCAGGAACAAAAAACAGACCCATAAAATTAGTCTTCATATTTGCATTGTATTTATAATAGTAATTTATGTCTCTAAAGAGGGTTAAAAAATAAGCTGAAACATTAGCGCCTTAATTTAATAAAGAGGTTTGTGTTACAGTTGTATTTTATTTCGCGCAACGATTACCGTGCTTGACTCCTATTTGCCCTTTTCTCATTTAATTTCATTCGAACAGTAAGAAGTTCTTACAAATTAATCTATAATTAACCTTAGCCGTATACACTTGTATTTTGCACCTTAGATATACACACTCGGGTCTCTGGGATCCCATCTATATTTGTTACCGTGATGTTCGTTAAAATATATATTCAAAAAGTTACTAGTTAATTTAAATTTAAAATAAAAGTAATAATAAGGCTCAATATGTATAAAACAGTATAAATATAAAGAGGGCAAAGAGCCAAGTAAATTAAGGAACAATTTAATTTAAACAATCATACAAACGTTTTGACTCTGAATCATGTAACATTTTTAATGTTACATTAAATATGAAATATAAATTAAAATAACAATTTATTGCATACATTCTTTATTAAGTAAAAATATTCTCAATTTAATATAAAATTCAGTCAATGTTGGTGTCGTAAGCATAATTAATCCTGGTAAAAAATAAAAGAAACAGAAGTAACATGTCCATAAATAAAAATTCCAAGTCACAACAGTAAAATAGTATTATAATTAAAAATTAAGTAAGATAATTTACAGCAAACCAAAATAAGCACTGATCTTTTTGATGAAAAATAAGATAATGTCCTATTATTAAATTTAAAAGATTAATAATAGACACTACAAGTCTCCTGATATTTCAATTAATTTTGTTTTATTTGATGTAGAATTGATTAATGAACAAGCCTATAATGTATAAAAATTGATAGGATTAAGGAGCTTCGAGATCTATAGGTTGAAAAAAAAAGAATAGTTCAGAAACGCAAAAAAATCTCGATCTGACAAATTACACTGGGATCCCGAGACCTCAGTGTGTATAGCTAGGGTTAATAATTCTGCAACTAAATAACAATAATTAAATATAAAAATATTATTAAAAGTACATTTTTTTTTTTTAATTTATTCTTATTATTGTTGTTATATTTTTAGGCGCAAGAGCTAAGAGTATATTTTAAAGGTCTTGGTGCAGAAATCAGCGAAGAAAAATCTCCTAAAGGTATAGAAGATGATTTGCATAAGATTATAGGGGTATGCGAGGCATGTTTCAAAGAAGGAAATGAAAGTGAAATAGAAACTGTATTGAATGATATTGTTTCTATCATGATTCTGGTAAGTTCAACATTTTGATAATTTTTTATTGTTAAAGAATATTAATTTTCCTTTTTATTTTCACTAATGTGCTATTTTAGATACCTACAGAACGTGCTGAAAATTTAATTCTAGCATTCTGTGAAAAACTTGTAAAAGCACCTGGAAACAAGCTTGGATTGGTGTGCTTAAAAGCGTAATAAATTGTTAATTTTTATAAAATTTATATATGTAGCATATTATTTTTTACTGCACAACAGATCATATATAAATTAATAAATAATCCTATTTTCAATTAGAAAGTAGATTTTGATATTTAATATTACTAATATGCAAATTTTTACAAATATATCTTCTCAAATGTATATGTTTGCAGTTTGTGGCTTTTATTCCAATCTCTTGCTGATGATTCTCCAATGAGATACCATGTTTATTACCACTTGGTACAAATAGCCCGCAATGTTGATCAAGTAAAAGCTGTGTATAGTGGAATAGATCAATTAAAGCAACAATTTGCCTCCTTTCCTCCATCAAACGAACAAATGCAAAAATTACTGCGTTTGTTGCACGAAGTTCTTTTAAGCTGCAAACAAGGGTAATGCCTTATGTTTTCTCCATCCTCTCTCTCTCGCGCGCGCGCTCCTTTTAATACACTTGTTTTCTATACAATATAAAAATGATTTCAAATATAAAACAATATTTAAATATTAAATCTTATAGGACCGTACATGTGAGAGAAACACAACCACTAAGAAAATGCCTTTAATGTCAAGATCCATCTTAACTGTTAAAGGCATTTTCTTGTTAGTTGTGTTTCAAATATAATATATATTTTACAAAGTATTTATATAATCCTTTTTAGAGAACAAGCAGCAGCTGTTATGGTGGAATTGTTGGGAACTTATACAGCAGAGAATGCTTCCGCGGCTAGGGAAGATGCACAACGTTGTATATTAGCTGCGTTAGCAGATCCAAATACATTTTTGTTAGATCCGCTTTTGGCATTGAAACCTGTGAGATTTTTAGAAGGCGAATTGATACATGATTTACTTCTTGTATTTGTACAAGATAAATTACCAGCTTATTTACATTTCTATCAACATCATAGAGAATTCGTAGAGCATCAACTTGGTATATACCTAGCCCATAATGTAGAATATGTAGATAATATAAACTTGAAATTTATTTCAATAAAATAAGATTTAAAGTGTACTTTTTTCTCTTTTTTTTTTATAGGATTAAATCATGAACAAAACATGAAAAAGATGAGGCTATTGACTTTTATGCAACTTGCAGAGACAAATCCAGAAATGTCCTTTGATACAATACAAGAGGAATTGCAGATTGATGAATCTGAAGTAGAAAGCTTCATAATTGATGGTATACTATTTTATTTACAATAACTAGCATTTAACATCCTGAGTAAATATAACATAGTTTTCACTATTATTTATTTAGTGGAAACTGATTTTTGACAGGATATATTAAATGAATCTGTACTGACTTAGTAAAATTATATTTTCACTGAGTTATCGAAGTGTTCAACAAATTTGTTAAGAAACAGACTTTTAAGAAAAATACGAAACGTTTTGATCGTGTAATAATATTCTCACGAAATATAAATATTGTTCTAGTTTTAAAAACCAAACTTGTGAGAGCGCGCATGGATCAGGCTGGTCGAAAAGTATTAATTTCAAGTACAATGCATAGAACATTTGGTCGTCCGCAGTGGATGCAACTACGAGATTTACTTGTATCATGGAAAGCTAATCTTTCAGCTGTACAGGATGGCATGAAAACCGTAGCTGTTGCGCAAATGGAGCTTGCAGCAAAGAATAAAGCTACTCTTGCTCACTGACAGTATCGAAAAATTCCATAAATATACATAATAACGAAAATAATACCATAAGTTAATTTATTAAAAGTTAATTTTTTTCTGGAGAATAATAGAGATTCATTGAGTCTGGCTATAAAAGCAATACAGCTAAAAATTAATAGCAATTGTATTACAATATCACATTTGTGTAACACAAAACTATTAAATAAAAAATTATTACATAATTTTAAACATATATTTACATATATAATATATGAAAGCTACATTCGTGTCGATCGACTCATTTTTTTTGTATCAAATTATTTCTATAAAATAAATGATTTAAATTGATCACAAAGTATATTAAAAATTAATTCAAAACGCTCTGGCGCGTTTTCTTGGACCTCTTCTCTCATCATCTTTTGTCACTTGTGGTTATTGCCATAGACTATGTTTCCACCGAGGGTTAAGCTGGAAACACAATAGGCATAGGCAATAATTCACTTCCAAGTAATTTATTCGATAGGATAAGAAATATCTTTGCGTGTGACAGTATCATCGCGATCTTATTATTATTATTAAGCAATCTTTAATTTATAAAATAAAATAAAACAATTGGTGGGACAAAGATGCGAAATGTAGTTGCATAAGGGGGAAGATGACGGCGTGTAAGAGGAAAAGAGACAGTAAGTATACACGGTAAGTAAATACAGCGCGGCAGCGGCACACAATGGGCGGAAAAACTCTTTGTGGACAAAAATCGACCGACACTAATTCTTAACCGATTTTAATATTTTTTTTAATACTAGAAATTTAATGAGCTTTAAGCCTATTATATTTATACCCCCTCCGCGTTCTTAAACACATTATAATTTATGTTGGTAAATCTGGTTCATAAATCAAGCGCCTAAGGAAAAAAAAACAAACTTGAGTTAGTTGATGTATATATATATATATACCTATATATATATATATATGCTACTAACCAGCCATATTTATTCCAAGTATACATATGTAAACCTCTTGTAACTTTTGTATAAAAGACAAATGATAAACAATAAAGACTACGATATATTTTTTAATATAAAAAAATTAAGAAATTATGACTGAATTTCTCTTATCATACTTGATAAATCAGATCTGAGTAGAAAATCTGGGACGTGGTAAATCACCAAATACCGTATCAGTATTGACACTTTTAGCTAAGGCTTTCATCGAAGCTCGAATGTTGTGTGGCTCGGTTGGCAACTGTAATTATAATTATATACAATTTTTTTTAGAGAGAATAAACTTCAATGAAATATAATAATAAAAAAAGATTCAGAAATATAATACGAGGGCAATAAGAAATATAATACAAGTCAATAAGTTCTCAGAAAATCTGTCATAACACATCTGAATGAATTTAAACGTGTTCATACATCCACATGTGATGAACATCGTTCGGGACGTCCAATTGAGGCTGCTACGCCAGAAATCATTGATAAAGTCCACGATATTGTTTTGACTGATCGACGAGTGAAAGTGCGCGAGTTTGTTGAAGCCACAGGCATATCATCTGGCACAGTGATTTCAATTTTGCACGAACAATTGGGTATGAAAAAGCAAGATGGGTGCCACGTTTGTTCACTGTGGACCATAAGTGCGACGATTTCAAAAAAATGTTTGGAGATGTTTCAAAGTAATCCAGATGAATTTCTGTGTCGATTCATTACTGTGGACGAAACATGGATCCATTACTTCATACCCGAGACGAAGGAACAGTCAAAACAATGGACTTCACCGGGTGAATCAGCTCCGAAAAAGGCGAAGATCGTGAAGTCGGCTAAAAAGGTGATAGCCACAGTTTTTTGGGATGCACGCGATATAATTCATATCGATTTACCTTCCGTCGAACCAAACGATCAATGACGATTACTACGCAGCCTTATTGGATCGTTTCAACAACATTTTAAAGAAAAAACGTCCCCATTTGGCGAAGAAGAAAGTGCTCTTCCATCAAGACAATTCACAGGTTCGCACATGCCCGGCACCGATGGCCAAATTCAACGAATTCCGCTACGAATTGCTTTCCCATCCAGAATATTCCCCAGATTTAGCCTCCTGTGACTGTTTCCTGTTTTCAAATCTGAAGAAATAGTTCGAAGGAAAGAAATTCACCAGAGAGCAGCTCATCGCCAAAATAGAGGCTTATTTTGAAGGGTTGAACAAATATTCGGACAGCTTGAAAAAGTTGGAGAATCGTTGGATGAAGTGTATCGAGCTGAAAGGAGACTATGTTGAGGAATAAAAATTAATCGATAAAAAAATGTGTTTTACTATGTTTTTCTAAAAACTTAGTGACTTGCCCTCGTACAATATTGCAAACATTAAAAATCATAAGTACAAAGAAAAAACGGTGTAAATCGAGCGATAATAAGATTTTTTTATAAAGCAATTTCTAATTTACAATGTTCATACAACATAAAAATATAAAATTTATTTTATAAAAAATCTTATTACCACTCGATTTAGTCCGTTTTTTCTTTATACTTTGCATTGCAAAAAACGAGTAAAATCTAATTAATAAAAATTATGTAAGATGGTACCTGATCATCGTCTTGATCCTGTACTGTATGATGAATGATAGAAGGAAAAACAGGCACAATGACAGGTAGCGATTTAGCTAATGTAGAATGACCATCTCGCTGACCTCTCGGCATATGAATCTCTCCGTTTTGGCTTAAATCTAAATATATTAAATAGGAATTAAAGGCTTATAACGATCGAAACTAGATCTTTGATGCTTAAATAATTCAATATAAATTATATATATACTAATATCATATCTATATGTCAGCTTTCCGGTTTTCCCGTATCTTTCTAGAGTGCTTATGTGTTTTTCATGTCTTTGATAGGGCCATATAAGTGGTGACTATAAAAGTTTCGATGTGCTCGTTGCGGACAATCTAGACATTCTAAGCCGCAGGGTTGCCCTCACCAACAAATGCCCCCCTTGTGCTGTAATTGTGAAGAGGAATATCTTCCCTCTTCAGATAAGTGCCCGGTGTATGAGCGACATAGACAAATTTATGCCTATACGGCCATCAAGAATGTTTCATATTTTGAAGCTCGCTCTAAATTCGGCATGATCCTCAACTCCTCTTCCCCTCCCAATCCTCTTAATCAATTTGAGGCTTTCTCTCTTACTAAATCTAATTACTCTCCTCGTATTCAACATCACTATCACGATTTAAATCTGCATGACATCCTTCTTGAATTTGCTCATATTTATCAAACTAACGATCGCTCTTTTGCAGATGTAACACGTACGGCCGCCTCTCAACGATCTCAACCCTACACTAACGATTATGAGAACATTGTATCCAGTACACCTATTCATACCTATTCATACTAAATCGAATCAGACTGGATCTCATAATGCCACTTAGGGGCAATCGTCCCACTCATCATTCGAGAAATCTCGGAAACAATCTTTGCGTCGAGTCGACTAATCGTCTTTAGGATCCCCTTAGGCTAGGTTCACAACCTTACTTTAAGAGGCCCTAAGTCGTAAAGCCATAAGAAATTGACCAATCATAGTTGAATGCGAGAAAAATAATTGACTGTAATTGGTCAATTATGCTTTCCGGTTTAGAACCTCTTAAAGCGAGGTTGTGGACCCAGTTTTAAGCATCAAAGATCCAGTTTTAGCCGTTATAGGCCTTTAATACCTATTTCTTATTAGTTGTGTTCTGACATGATACGATCTAATAAGATTCTTATATCGCTAAGTATATTAATTATTACACAGATTTAGACCTAAATAAATACAAGATATTAACGATAAATTAATACATCGTACCATCGTTATCAGATCCGTCGGTATCTTCCGAAGAGCATACAAGCTGTTGGCTGCCTGCGTCTGTATCCTCCATTCCTTCAAAATGAAACAATACTTCTGTATCGAAATTTACCTTGGTACACATATACATTGTATCCTTTTTTTTCGAATTTTCATCCTGTAAAGTTTATTATCCATATTCAATACTATTTATTAATGTTATAAATACAAAAACTTTCGATCTGTATATCAAATAATGATTGAAAAAACTTTGATACAACAAAAGTGACTTACATTAATGGTACTTTTATAGGAGTGTCTGGTGGTTGTTTCGTGTTTAACATTAGGGCTACTAGATACTTTTGTATCATTGAATATTATATCAGACTTTGGATTCACTGTACTAGCTGCAGAAGTAGTCATGATATTTTTAAAGCCATCAGGAGTTGTTGGTGGAGTCTCTATATTATTGGTTACTCTACTTATTTCGTCACCTCTACACACTAGTCTAATTATAAAAAAAAAACACAAGTTATGATTATTATTACATAACATAGCAATATATTATACATATAATTATCAAATTATACTTTGATAACAGCCTATGTTCGTTGTGTGCTCTTTCACGAAATTGTTCCAACAACTGATGCTGTTCATCAGTAAACGCACGTATTTTATCTTCTATAGCTATTGTTTCACGTTGTACAGCTTCCTGTAGCTGTTGTTGTAATCCATCTAGAGCCACTTGAACCGTGTTAGGTAATTGTGAGACTAAATAAATAAAACGCAACATATAATGCTAAGATAACATACGTGCATAATAGACAAATATAAATGAATTATTTTCAAATTCGACTAAATTAAACATGTACGTACACATTGACTTACCAGAAAATTTAGGCTGTTGCAGATAATCGTCAAGATCTTCCAAACTATGATTAATTACTACCCTGAATATTGGACTATAATCTGGATTGGATTTTAATTTATTTATTTCCTCGGGCGATAACTGTAACAATATAATCATCTTTCAAACGAGTTTATTTACAAGTTAACGACTCCATAAAATTGAATAATAAGTATACCTCTAATATATTATTTTTGTAATTTATGTAAACAGAAAATGTGTATCTGGAATCAATATCATATGCAGAGACTATCGCCCAAAAATCAATTACTTATCTTGTTAATATACAATAAATTATGTTCAGATTCCTATCCAAATACCACCCAGATATCACACCATCTTTGTTGTTTATCGAACGTTAAACCAGAATAGCATGACCCTCAGGGAGGATCCGAATAGGAAATCCAAACACGCTGTTATAAAGAATGATTCATAATAAATTATTTTGCATAAATCACATTAAAATTAAATACTAGTTGACAAACATTTTGGAAAGGCAACAACAAAAATATAGAAAATCAGATAAGTAAATGCCAAGTAAATACGGTTGCTGCTTCTCCAGCCGAAAATTCTTGACTTTTTAAACAAATTTGACACAAAAGATTTCATGCTTTTTTCCTTTATTTTAGAGAATGTACTACACAATAACAATAATTTGATAGTGGCAGTTAATCTCGAGTAAGAAAGATATACCAACCATACAAATAAAACAGATCGTTCATATTGATAAAGACATTTTTGTCTTATTAACTTAATATCTCTCTTTTGTAATATGTTTTGTCTAAAACTTACAAGAATATTGTTATTAACAAGGACTAAAGCAGCACCATATTCTCTGTGGACCGCATGAGTATACATTGAGCAATTGCAACAACGATGTACAATCCAGGATCCAACATTTCTTTTCTCCATTAAACCAGGTTGTTCTTTAGTAATTTTTTCCAATTCTGATACACTTGCCAAATCCTGTCAAAAATAAAATCAATATATCATTATATATATCATATATTATATCATTAATAATTTAATTGTTCCATATTTTAATTACAATTATATATACATAAACATTCATTATGTCAAGCAATTGATTATGACAGTAATTTTTGTGTAGATATTGTTGTAAAAAAATGCTAAAAGAATTACAAACAATAATAAAGGATCTAATCTCTGAACAGAAATGTCATGTCAATCAATGCTTAGATACTAATTTCGCATGAATATTAAAAAAAAATATTTTATATAAAAATCAAGGGAAAAAAATGGAAAATAAACCACCTTTAAACAAAATGTTAATAAAATGCGATGGGATCTCAAAGTATAAGATTATTGCCGTGCTGCAAAAAACATGGAATTGATAACTATCGTAACGAGTTGTATGATATATCAAACTGAGACTTGAACCAAGATCTATTTATGAAAATTGAAGCCACATATTTTTTCACGTTTACTACACGTCTCTCTATATAAGATTAAATTCTAAATTCGTACCGGTAAACAGGGATAAAGATCAAACTCTAGATTCATACCGGTTTTAACTTTGGAACGAAACAGGTGAAAAGTGAAAGGGAAAAGTGGAGGTCGAACAAAGCATTCTTTTGTTTAATTAATTATTATTAAATCATAGATTTAAAAAAAACAAAGAAACGGTAATAATTCGTGAAAAAAGCTTTTATTCACCTCGCGAAAAAAGGCATCGGTACGCTCCACATCAGTCAACTCGACGTTAACCTGCTGTAATTCGGCGCTCCTAGACTTGATGGATACATTCAGGCACTTACAGGTAACGTGCATCTTTCAATTATTGAGAAAAACGATCGACGAACGCGCGAGTTGATTGGATGACCAGAGAACACAGCGTTCCTCTCTTCCTTTTTCGGAAAGGTCAAAGATGCGCCGAGATGCGCGATGCAGCACGAACTATACACACCACTACGTACTTGATTGCAGATTGCAGCCTGTACTGCCTGCTGCAGATGTAGTTTTGATTTAAATCAGCTGTTCTCTCTCTCTCCCCGTCCCTCCCTCCCCCCTCTCTCTCTTTCTCTCTCTCGAGATTGTCTAGCAGAACTCCTCAATTGCTCCCAATCAAACAAGCATCATCACCGCGAGACGTCGTCTATCAACGAAGGAGCATCAAGAATCGTACCAAAATATATATATATATATATATGTCGTCAGAGAGAAATCTTAGAAGTTTTTCTCTGATGTCGTTTGCGATCAGATAAAGCATATATAGGTTGTCGAAGCAACTATCTCTCTTAACTGGATAAACCGACTGTTCAACGTCGTCCTGCCGAAAAAAACATGCACGACTAAGAATTGAGAAAATAAATGGCGCGCATACGAATTGCTATATATACATATATATACATGTATATATATATATATTTATCATATACATGTATGTGTGCGCGCGCGCGCGCGGGAGTGTATACCAGAGAGAAACCTGAGAGAGGACATAACGATCTAAAACCTGTAACCATGGTATAAATACAAGGGTATGCTCTTGCGCATATTTCAGATAGGGACAATCCAGGGAATTTGTTCTTGCTTACGTCACACGAGCTTCCTCTACATTTACTTTACACGAGTATGACGTAAGCAAGAAGTTCTTGCTTACGTCACACGAGCTTCCTCTACATTTACTTTACACGAGTATGACGTAAGCAAGAACAAAAAGTGGTGGGAATGCGCAGTGGTCTGACACAGAACGAGCATACCCTTGTCTTTATACCATGCCTGTAACCACAAAATACTGCCGCACACTACTGCCCACTGCAAAAGTGGATGTGAACTACATGCCAGATCCACTATTCTGAGGATAAC